ACACGATGTGCCAACTGCAATATGACTTCAGTGACATCTACTGCCATTTTAATTTTAAACACAGAGCGCTATAGCACCCTGGGGTTGAATGTTTCGGATTAGTGTCTCCTACAAATGGCAAAATGTATATGTGACTTGTAGTATGCTTGGTTCAATGATAATGGCATAGCACTGTACAGCTTGCATCATGCAGCGATGCTGCTGAATGGACTGGCTGTTGCCATTTGTCATAATTACAGAGATGCTTTGGCTCAGAACCATTTGCATGTACACACACACACACACACACTTACTTGGTTTAATACTGGTGTACCTACTTATTCTGCTGTCCAATGAAATTGTATAGCCCTGGGTGTCTAATTATACTAATCGAATGCATACCGCCTGGCATTTATTCATACATTATTAATAGCAGAAACAATAGAATCTCTGATTGGATATACTGGCTTCCTGACTTCTCATCTTCTCCCTGTTTCTTACTCTTTCCCACTTATCTCCCACTCCATCTCTCTCTTTCTCTCTACCCCATGACCTCTTTTCTTCTCCCTCTGACTCTTTTCCCCTTCGTCTCCCGTAATTTGCTTGTGGGTGTTGAGTAATTAGCATTCCTTTCACTTTTATTCTGATGTCAGTGCGGGGAATTTGAGAAATGTCCCATAAAGATTATATGTCCCGATAAGGTTATGTCTGAGACTCCATTAAAGAGATGAGCTGCACAATGGCTGCTTGTATCCTTCGGGAAAAAGAGGGCGTGTGTAGGAGAGAGACTGACGGTGACTACAGACCGAGGCTCGTGCAGCCTTTTCTCTTTCATTAACACAAACATTACAGCGAACTAACTGCTGGTTAGTTTTACCAAAACCTCCACAACCTCGTGTACTGTGTTGTCCACTGAAATGCTGATGATGTTTAGGTCAGCGGTCCCCAACCTTTTTTGCGCCACGGACCGGTTTATGCCCGACAATATTTTCACAGACCGGCCTTTAAGGTGTCACGGATAAATACAACAAAATAAAACTAGTACTGGTACCGAAAAAAGGAAGATTTATTCATAACACACGTGAAAAGACCCAGGAAAACAGAGTTAACGATCAAAACGATAACAAAATAACACTGAAAACCGATAAAAACCCTGAAAAACCATATATTTCACACCTGAGTATCAACTCTCGCGGCCAGGTACCAAACGACTCACGGACCGTTCCGAGGCCCGGGGGTTGGGGACCGCTGGTTTAGGTTACCACATAGGTAGTCGCATGATTGTAGACCAACTTTTAGCAGCAGTAAGTTGCAGCGATGGTTTTCTGTGTGAATTTATCTCTCACATTATTGTGGAGGACATCTGGGAGATGCTTCTTCACAGCGTTGCTTCAGCTCGTTGAGGTTTGCAGCATTCGTTTATGCGCAGGTCCCTGAAGGTCCACCACCAGCGATTCTTTGTCAGCCGTTGTGTTTGAGGTTTGCTGCTGTGTGCTGGGATCTTTGTCCTGTTGATGACCCAGTTTAGTCCAAGCTTTAGCCTCGCATTTAACTCTAGAACTCCAGATATACAGAGGAGATCATTCACTTGAGTTTCATTTATATAGATCAGACCATCCCTCCACCACCGTGCTCACAGTCAGTATGAGGTGTTTGGTTTTCTCCAAATGTGCTGCTGTGCATCATGGACAAACAGGTCCACTCTGGTTTGTAGGTCCAAAGGACATCGTTCCAGAAGTCTTGCGTTTTGTACAACTCTAAGCCGTGCTGTCGTGCTTATTTTAGAGCAGGGGTAACAACTCCAGGCCTCAAGGGCTGGTGTCCTGCAGGTTTTAGACGGCACGATCTGATATCCTCGTGTCGGTGTTGGTCCCACATCATCATAATAAATGTTGTTCCAGGTTCAACATTGCAAGTGACCAATCACATTGTTGTGACGTCATACTTTTGCGACTTCGGAAAAAAACGCCGTAAAAAAAAAAATCTACTTAACTTGCGAGAAACCGCCTCTGTCCGCTGATCCAGCAATTTGAATTCTTTGCATTTCAGGATACTGTTCTTTAATAAACAGTAAACATTATACATATTGTCCTTGCAAAATTGGAATTTCATAAATTAATGAATCCCTTGCCTTGCAAAAGTATTACGTCACAACAATGTGATTGGAAGTGTTGGTCAAGTTACTTGAAAAAAGTAATCAGTAACTAATTACTGATTACTTCCCCAAAAAGTAATCCCGTTACTTTACTGATTACTTATTTTCAAAGGTAATTAATTACTTAGTTACTTAGTTACTTTTTAAATACACAATTTACAACCTGAATAGGTGATAAAGCGATAGATCTTTCAGCCCAATTCTACTTTTTCTGCATAATCCATCATACAAAATGTAATCAAATGGAAAAGTCTCTTTTTAAAACTTGTTTTATTAGTTTTAATCTTTTAACTTTATGCATCAAGCAAAAATTTAATTATATGCAACATTCTCTGACTGGAAGAAATTTGTTTAACATTTAAACCTATTTTCTGCACATTCCAGCACATAAAATATTTTTTTTTGTGTTTACACTCAGTCTTTCAAATAGATGCAAGTAAAACACAGCAGAAAATAAATAAAGTCAAAGACTAGCGGTCCTGTTGCTCTATTTTCACCTGTAAAGCAGGAGTGGGTAGGCGGAGGTTTACCCTGGTGCAGGTGTGCCGCAGCGGTCAGTGGAAGAATCCGCGAGTTTCTCTGTGAATTTCCCATTACGTCGTAGCTACTCGGTGCTTGCTTGGAAGTTTAGGGGTTTTTTCGCTGTAAAAAGAAGTTTTCTTCCCACGCACAACGGACACTAATGTTTTTGTCACTTTTTATGGAATCAAACTCAAAGTAAGGTCAGTACTTCCACGCTTTAAACGCTGCACGCTCATACTCTCTCCCGCACTCGATATATGATCCATTGTTGATCTGCACACAGCTGTTGTCACGAACGTCGCACTCGCTTACGTCACTGTCATGAGACATTCTCGCAAAAAAATCACGGTTTTAGTAACGCAGTAACGCAGCGTTCCTACGGGAAAGTAACGGTAATCTAATTACCGTTTTTGCAATAGTAATCCCTTACTTTACTCGTTACTTGAAAAAAGTAATCTGGATTACAGTAACGCTGTCCCATCTCTGGTGATTGGTCACTTGCAATGTTAAACCTGGAACAACATTTATTATGATGATGTGGCCACAACACCAACACGACGATATCAGATCATCCTTTTAGATCTCACCCTGGGTCAACACACCTGAATCAAATGACTAGTTCATTACCAGGCCTCTGGAGAACTTCAAGACATGTTGAGGAGGTAATTTAGCCATTTAAATAAGCTGTGTTGGATCAAGGACACATCTAAAACCTGCAGGACACCGGGCCTTGAGGCCTGGAGTTCCCCCACCCCTGTGTTAGACAGCAGAGTTTCTCTGGTAACCCTTCCAAATAAGCCACACTTGTTCAGTCTGTTTCTAATTGTACTGATGATGAATGTTAAGTTTAACAGGCTGACTGAGGCCTGTACAGTCTCAGACTGAGTTCTTATTTCTGAGTAGTGCACAGATGTCTCCTTCTAGGAAGACTGCGTTAACACATACAGACCAACAAACTGCAGACGCTGCTTTTATAGAGGTGCTCACACTTAATCAAGTGAATTTGATTAGCAGGGCTTTCTGTATCACATGACTGCAGGTTTTTGGAAATGTAGTATTTTTTTATTTGCTGGTGTTAGTGTATGCATCACATTTGTCATGATTGTGGTTTGAGGAGGTTTGTTTGGCACTGGCAGAGGGGAAGAGGTGATGCTCACGGTCACCTGAACTGAGGCGTGATGACTTTTTTAACAGGGAATGATGCACTCAAGTTACTCTAGTAAAAGTCAGCGATAAAAACATGGAGGTGGAAATGAGCATCACCGATGCCCTTTGATGGAAACAACAGCAGATATAACAACACTGTACAGTCAGCGTTACACCATGCGCGCCTGTGACCACAGGCAAATGTTAAAGCATTTTGCATAAAGAAATCCAGATTCAAATGTCAGGTGTTGTTAGATGTTGCAATTGTGCATGACTGTAAAAGAAAATGCTTTGTGTTTGCAGTGGTGGGGGTGGAGGGGACTGCCTCCCCGCGAGATTTTCAAAGCAAATGACGCCATGAGATAAGTGTGGAGCTGTGGGGCTTTGTAAATTGCCGTGTTTCTGTGGAATTCCTTTGAAAACACAATTTATTGCAAGGCAGGAAATTTACTATAATTACAGATGAGTCAGATCTTAAGACTATAACAACTTTATAAAGTTCTCTCTGGCAGCTCAGTCTCACAAACAGAGATGGGGGGGGGTAGCCAGCTCGTCATACCTTTTGAGGTTTGCGGTTTAAGTCGATATCAATTCTGAGTGCTTTCCTCCTTCAAGGCTAAGTGCTGGAGCCATCGTTTTGCAGATGGATTGTGTAGGCTAACTTCATTTGGGTATCATTTGTATTTCCACATGAATTACGTTCTAGACCTACAAGTCTCGGTGTTGCCCGGTGAAAAATGATTTGCGTCACTGGAAAGCATTTCATTTAAGTAAACCACCACTTCTCTTTCTCTCTGTCTCTCATACTGGATAATACGTGACGCGTATCGAGCCCGTCTCTCTCCCTTTATGCCCACAGAGGGTTTTATCGATCGGTGTATGGGACATACGTTGTCCTCTGTCTTTGACAGGATGTCAACCTCTCTTTTTCCTCTGATGTCTCTTTCCCGTAGGATTTGGATGTGTCATTGTGATGTGATGTTTGATGTGGTGATGCCACAGTGAGAGGTGGCTGACTGGACACTTCTCCTGGAGTGGATGACTTAATCCGTCACCCTGAGCAGATGTTTATCTCCCCTCCCGACAGGACGGAGACGCAGATGCTGTGTGAATACAAAGATGAACTCGAGAGAACTAGCCTGCTAGTGAATGTGTCTACCACAACTCACCCGAGTTCTCCCTTTTTCTATTTCCACAGACTCTGCAGTTGGGTTGCTATGGCAGCTGTGGCCCCTTCCTACTTCTTCCTGCTGTGTTGGCTGCTGCGAACGGCTAGCTCGGCTTTCCCGGAGGAACCAGGGCCCCTGAACTTCATCCCTACAGAAGGTTTGACCCCTCGCTTTCTCGCTCCTACTCCCTTTTCCTCCATTGCATTTCTCTCACCCACGACATGATGTGAAGTGTTGGGTTACAGCCAAATGCGCATGGTGATGAATGAGGGGGGGAGGCTACGGCGAAAGGTTAAGGTCACGATGGTGGCTGTGGAGATTTCACACAAAACGCGTTGAAGCGTGGGGTCACGCTCGGGAATGAGACCGAAGCCATGGAAGGGGCTCTCGCATTCGTGACTTTCCCACACATGAGCTCAGACCCTTGAGAGATACGGCCCCTCGAACGCTCAGACTCTGTGGCTCCGTATCGGCTCTGCAGTCTCTGGCTTAGCCCTGATCTAGATTGACTGCAGTTCAATAATATTGACCAGTGGTTTTCCAGCTAAGTCCAGGCCCTTCTTTGTATATCAATAATGAACAGCTGAGCGTAGACGTGTCTGACTACTGGGTGCTGCCTATTGGCTAGGCTGCAGTAGACCCAACAGCTGTGGTTTACAGCAGGTATAAGTGGAAACATAAGTCAGAGGCCCAATCACAGCGGGTCAGAGTGATGCAGAAACCGGAGCAAAGATAAGACATACAGGATAGGAATGAAGTAGAAGAAGAAAAATATAGAAATGAAAAGAAAAAAGCAGACTGTGCTGAGCACATGAAATAATATCAGATAGAAATATACCAGCTTTCCTTAGAAATCTGTGGTACAGCATGACTGGAAATGTTTTATTTCTTCCATCTTCCGTTCCCTTCCTCTTCCTCGATGTACAGCACTGATCATTTACCTTTCTGATATTTGTTTCTGTCTTTTTGAATTATCCGAATCAGCCGGCAGAACATGCATTGCCAAACTTGTCAACAAAAGGCTGCATGTAAATGAACAATCCATCAAAAGTGAATCTCAATCAGCCAACAAACAAAAACTTGTGAATATAATGACATATGAGGTGCAGATCAGACATCTTTCATTTTCAGATTATTTGTCTACGCTCCCCTCCATGTCTCGGTACATTTAAAGTAGCGCGTCAGCTGTGCTTTCAAATGCAGATCTCAAATGCTTTCTCCACTTCACCTTGAATACCTGTTACTGAGGCTGAACTGTCAAAACAAACTAACACAAAACCACTTTTATGCTGAGTACTTTTGGCAAAGATGGATGTCCGTTTCAGAGAAGCCATTCTGTTTGATTTTCTGACAGTGGTGAGAAGATACCCCGTGTTTCTGGGCCGACCGCACAAAACGTGGCTGAGACAAGAGCCTCTGCACGTCCAGAGGATCCTGCAGGTCAATCGGACGCTCTACATCGGAGCGAGGTACGCGACCCACACACACATGCAGACACACGTGTAGATGTACCGATCGGGCCTGTACCTGCTGCTAGGTGAGGTGAATAACTGGTTATGTCTTCATTGTGGCACCTGTTAGTGGGTGGATATATCAGGGAGCAGGTGAACGTTTTGTCCTCACAGTTGATGTTAGAAGCAGGAAGAATGAGCAAGTTTGAAAAAAGGCCAAACTGTGATGGCTATATGACTTGGAGCTTATAAACTGCAGGTCTTGCAGGGTCTTCTCGGTCCGTAGGGGTCAGTATCTTTTAAAAGTGGTTCAATGAAGGAACAGAGGTGAACGGTGCTCCTTGATCACTGTGGATAATGTGCTGAAAGCAAGAATCGTTCAGGAACGATTGAGGAGCACAACGTTGCTTTTGAGGTGTCGACTTGGCTTCTAAATTCCCCAGATCTCAGTCCGATCCATGGAGACTCCACCTCGCAACTTTTGCACACCTTGATGGTCATAATGTTATGCCCGATCAGTGTATATACTAATGTACATTATGTCACTTACCTGGGGTTTTAAAATCTCTTGGACTGCCTGTTATCACCAGAGATGGGCAGTAACGCGTTACCGATTACTTTTGTCAAGTAACGAGTAAAGTAAGGGATTACTATTGCAAAAACGGTAATTAGATTACTGTTACTTTCCCATAGGAACGCTGCGTTACTGCGTTACTAAAACCGTGATTTTTTTTGCGAGAATGTCTCATGACAGTGACGTAAGCAAGTGCGACGTTTGTGACAACAGCTGTGTGCAGATCAACAATGGATCATATATCGAGTGCGGGAGAGAGTATGAGCGTGCAGCGTTTAAAGCGTGGAAGTACTGACCTTACTTTGAGTTTGATTCCATAAAAAGTGACAAAAACATTAGTGTCCGTTGTGCGTGGGAAGAAAACTTCTTTTTACAGCGAAAAAACCCCTAAACTTCCAAGCAAGCACCGAGTGCGCTACCACGTAATGGGAAATTCACAGAGAAACTCGCGGATTCTTCCACTGACCGCGCGGCACACCTGCACCAGGGTAAACCTCCGCCTACCCAACTCCTGCTTTACAGGTGAAAATAGAGCAAAAGGACCGCTAGTCTTTGACTTTATTTATTTTCTGCTGTGTTTTACTTGCATCTATTTGAAAGAGTGAGTGTAAACACAAAAAATATTTTATTTTATGTGCTGGAATGTGCAGAAAATAGGTTTAAATGTTAAACAAATTTCTTCCAGTCAGAGAATGTTGCATATAATTACATTTTTGCTTGATGCATAAAGTTAAAAGATTAAAACTAATAAAACAAGTTTTAAAAAGAGACTTTTCCATTTGATTACATTTTGTATGATGGATTATGTAGAAAAAGTAGAATTGGGCTGAAAGATCTATCGCTTTATCACCTATTCAGGTTGTAAATCGTGTATTTAAAAAGTAACTAAGTAACTAAGTAATTAATTACCTTTAAAAATAAGTAATCAGTAAAGTAACTGGATTACTTTTTGGGGGAAGTAATCAGTAATTAGTTACTGATTACTTTTTTCAAGTAACTTGACCAACACTGGTTATCACTACATGTGTTACCAAGTAACTCACATCGCCAAGCGCCATCGTCGATGTAATGACCAGACACATCACGGAAAGTGAGTGACATTTGGTGACTTCACATGTGTGAAACATACACTCCTGACTCAAAGTGAGCAAGTTTAACTTCAGCTGTGTCCAGACAGGAAGCGAGAAGCAGCAGCCTGGTTAACCCTCCGTATCCCAGTGGCATTCCATTTGCATGAGAATTCCTAAATTTGCCTAAAGAACTACAGAAAAGCGTCCATGTTTTCATTTAAAAAGAAAAAATAGCTCTTTCAGTTTTCATCATGTCTTTCTCATTATCTCTTTCTCATCCTCTTCATCTTCCTCCTCCACCACTGCTCTCATCTTCCTCATCTCCACCTCATCCTCTTCCTCCTCACCTGAAGCGTCATCTCCAGAACCGAAGTCAGAGATTTAACCTAAGACAACATGCAGATTAGACACATGACCTTCCGGCTTCTATACCACAGACAAAGAATTGGCTATAACAACAATAGCTGGTTCTAAGCTCATGTTATTCCAGCTAATGTTGGACTGGAGTTTCCTAAAAATCATACGTTCCCTCTGATAAGCAGTTTCACTGCTTTAAGAGTTTGTTAGACCCAAAGTTAGATCCGTGTCTAACTTTCATGACAAGGACGGATTTCGCGTCACCGACTCATCGACCCAATTTGTACTCCTGGAGAGGTGGATGCTTCACCGCCTCCTACTGATGCTGGCGAGAGCATTTGAGCTGACCTGGGCACCATAAAATATTTAACGTACACATATCAGTTTTTATTCCCAATTTATTGTTAAATAAATTATACACAATATATTTTGTACAATATATTTAAATTCATAACCAGTAGAAGAAACTCAACCACTATGAGGTGCAGAGTTTCCACAACTTCAAGGAGGTAGATACGAACAAGCAGCTGGCAATACCAAACAGCTGAAGCAACCACCAGTGAGAGTGCAGGGCAGTGCTGGACACGTGACAGCGTGGTGAATGGAACAGATGGTTAGCTAAACAACCGGCACCTGAAATGTCTGCGAGCACCCAGAAGCCACAAGCGAATCGCTCCCCATGTGGATACTCCTTAGTGCTAACGTCAGGATTCATCTCAGAGGAAATGTGCAAGTACAGCTGAGGCTGAAGTACTCCCAGATGTTACATCAACACACGCAAAAAAGTCAATAGTTTTTGACCCGTGAAACATGGCACCACAAAGCCCAGGATGTGTAGCCTGTGGGACCTGCTTGGACCATTAGCCTTTCTTTAATAAACTTTGTCTCTTGAGAGACTTAAAGAGACTCGGTGGATCCTGAGCGATCAGCCAAAAGTATCAGGAGACTAGCTTTTAGTAGCCTCGAGTCCACTCGCACAGCATAGGAACATAAATACTGGAGAACTGGTGACATTTGGAGAATGACGACAGAACATGACCAGTAAAACATTAGCTAAAGAGATGTGAGAACTGATGTTTTTAGAACACTTGTAAAATTTTCTATATCGATTATTTTATTTACTTCTTTCCAGAATATGACATTTTCTTCATTATAACCATTAATGCCAACCTCACACTGGTCAAAAAACACTTACATTACCATTCCCTATTAAATCGATTAGCTTGTTTATGTACTGGTTTCACACGAGCCAATTAAACAGTAAATACACTGACATTCACAGTATATTATACTTTCATTTTGTATATTTAAAGCACTCTAAGACACACACACATTTGTACAGCACTTTATGTTATGTTTTCACACTTTTATCCATCACACACACTTGACCATGGACTGGAAGAGTGGATGACCTGCTCCACGTCCACAGCCACCGCCACCCCCGATGTGTAATTATTAAACAGCATATGTAATTTTCAGTCATCGGTTCCTCCTGAAATGTCTCGCCTTTCAAATGCAACACATAAAACAACACTGTCAAACACGCTGCACCTGATTCTGCGATACTGTTATAATGACAGCTTGGACACACACACGAAGTTAGTAAGGAGTAATTGAGATTAGCTTGCTCGCAGGGTAATAAGCGTCTCCCCTCAGGTTTTAGCATGTATTATTAATCTTCCAAAAGAAGTTTATTGACAAATAAATTAATAGTTACAAGGCAGACCTCTGAGTTAGTAGGAACCTGGCAGACTGGCACAGCTGCTTCGTGTTACTCTGACATCTGTTAGAAGAAAACATGTGTGACAGCAACGCGATGCCGCCACGGTAGCAGTTCTCCTTCTCAAACAGGAACTTTAGAACTGAGCACATGGAAACGTTATGTAGGCCTGCGCAGAATAGCCTCGCAGCCATGTTGAAAAGATAACCACGAGCCACGGCGTGCTGCGTGCCATCTGTAAACATTAAGACAGAAAGATTGAATGCATGTTATCGTTTTATTACTAGCTAGTAACGTGTTCCTTTAGCTGTCGCTCTCTTCTGTGGAGTAGCTGCATGTGAGGGCTGATATTTGACCTGACAAATATCAAGTTGAGTGATTTCTAGTTTGTTCTCCGTGTGATGATGGTCCCCATATGCCTGTCAGTCTGCTGAAGGCAGTGATCCTGAACAGATAGTAGCCCCGGTGGTCAGAAAGGCCGGAAGCCCAGTCTCCTCACCTGCGCCACTGCTGTGCAACATCTGGTTCTCCACCGACGCCATTCAGGAGCCGACCTGAAGCAACCGTGCTAAAAAAAAGAGCATGCACGTTAAGATTTACTGTCCATGTTGTCCAGAAAGTAACACAGTTTGAAACATCCCGAAAGAAGGAGACAGTTAGTTTCTACATATGGTGCTGATTATTTGCTGTAGTGGAAGGAAGATTGAAGCGGTTTCCAATAAGAGACGCCGCTGTCCTCCAGGAAATGACCCAGTCTCCTGCCTCCAGCAGGCCTAACTTCACTGCTGAGACTCGGTAGTAAATATATCAAACTATGTAGCTTGGTTCCAGCCATTCTGTCTGCACCGGGAGGATCTATAAGCACACACATGCACACGGTCGGGCAATAAAACTTCCCACAGACAACTATAGCTACTGCAGTTTGAAGGTCTACTTTATAACAAGCGGCCATGAAACACTTAAAAAATTAATTTGAATTTACAGCTGTAGAAATTGTTCCTGAACAGGAGGAGAAATCTGATCTGAATGTCAACCAACCGGATGATGAGAAAATACTAAGCTTACAGGCGGGGCAGCGGGGGAGGCAAGCAGAGAGAACGTTTCGAGACTATATTTCTATCTTTTTGTAAGTGGCTAATAGTGTTTGTGGCTTCCTGGCGGTAAACGATCAGCCTGGAAAGAAATAGATCCATGTGCAAACGCATTTGTGAGCCAGAGACGGCCCAGCAGGGTGACTGAGTTTTAAAATGTACACTGTATGAATAAGTACCTGTGGTGGCAGGTATGACTGCCAAAAGCTTCGACAGAGTGCGTGGCCTGATAAGACGCCTCACTCATCCCCAAATCCTGTCGCCATTAGCATAGTTGCTCCTCTGACTGCAAGCACTGCTAAATCCCTGCCCCAGACGCCCGCTGAGAGCTGCTACCTCTCCGTGTCCTCTTCCCATCCCCGCTAAATGAAAGTAAACTCTGTATTTGACTGGTGCCAAGTGGAGTAAGAGTCTTGCTGCGTTAAGCCCCATTTCATTGCTGTTAAGACGAGCAGCTGTGGATCCTGTGGTCCTCAGCCCCGAGTCAGATCCAACAGGCAAATCCACACAAACATAAACCAATTGGAGAGTTTACCAATTGACAGCATGACTGAAGGAATGACTCAAACTCTTGAATAACTGTTCCACTTGTAAGATGTTTGTGCTGTCAGTCTGTGTGCGTGTAGGCGTGTATGTGTGTGTGCGCGCATGTTTTATCTGCACATTCTGCATTACCTGGAGTGGGAAGTGATAACTTGCTGCCAGTCTGGATGTTTTTTACTGTGTTAGCCCGCTAATGTGACTCTTGAAGGTCAGTTGGCTTGTGGCAGTCAGACAGGGAGACACTCTACTGAGGCCGGAAGGGAAAGTTTAGTATGTAAAGCAAGCAAGCAATTTATTTAAATAGCACTTTCAGACCAATCCAGGCTGGAAACAAAGTGCTGTACACTTGACATGGCAAAAAAAACGGTACATTAAATTAAGTTTAAAAATAATAATAATAATAAAATTAAATAATAATAATTAAAATGAAATAAAAACAATAAAATCAGTGCATTAGATTAAATTATAGCAGGAAAATCACGATCAGACTGTGAAAAGCCAAGGAGTAAAAATGGGTTTTAAGTAGTGCTGTCAGCGTTAATCTCGTTAAAATGACGTTAACGGCATAACTGCTCGTTAACCCATTGACGCCATGCAGCCCCACGCACGGGGCGATCCGCGATAACTCGCTAACAGAGATTTACCGCGTTAATGAGGTTATGGCTTTAACGTAATCTTAACAAGATTAACGCTGACAGCACTAGTTTTAAAAATGGACAATGAAGGGGCCTCACTAATGTGCAGAGGCAGGTTATTCCAGAGGTTAGGAGCAGCCATAGAGAAGGCCCTGTCCCCTCGGAGCTTCCTCTTGGACCCTGGTACCTCCAGGAGCAGCTCGTCAGCTGACCTGAGAACCCGGGGTAGGGCTGTGCAATATGACCAAAATCTCATATCCCGATATAAGAATTCTATCGTCCCGATGACGATATAAATCACAGAAATGTAACATTTTCTGTAAATTCTGTGAATCTCGGGCAGCTCGTCTTGCGGGAAGTGTTTCCAGCTGCGCGTCATGTAGCTGGAGTCGAGTGTTTTAACCGATGCATGAAACTGATACATTTTTAGACATAAGTTGTAACGGCCGCCGTTTTCTTTGTGAGTATTTATTACACGGCGTGCTGCGGGGAAAAGCCTGTTCTAACGTTTGAGTCTAAGGTTTATTTTTTAGCACCTGGCGGCTCTTTTTTAATTCTCATCCGTAAATAATCTGCTCTTTCACGTGATTCAGTTTATTTTGAAAAGTCTCAACAGGATCTTGAGCTTTATTGTGAAAGGTTTATGTGGAACATAAACAAGCGGACACGCGATGGTGTTACCGTCGTTGTTGCTAACCACAACGCATAAAAACAGGCGCTTGTCCGTCTGTAGTGTGGTTATATTAAATATAAGAGAAAGAGAGAACTTTAAGAAATTAATATAGCCACTACAGTGACCATCAAAACGATGAAAAAATGATTGCCCTAAACAGTTTATTTTGCGACACCATGAAACAAAGATAGCGTAAAATGAAATGATAGACGTTTTTATATCGTCATCCGGTATATATCGTTATATCGAACAGCCCTACAGTCTCAGGATCACCTCACCGTGTTACCAAAAACATGAAAAATGAATGAAAATAACAGGAACTGCTTTTCAGCTTCCAGCAGTGATCGTTTTGCTGTACGGTGGAACAGCGACGCCCGTCTCTCTCCATCACACTCAAAAGACTTAAGTACACTTCAAGCCACAGTTCTGTTCCTTTGGACTGTAGTGTTGCTTTTCCATTGAACGTTGTTTTGGACATATCTTTCTCTGCCTTATGCTGAATAAAATATATCTGTCGATGACACTCACCCTAAGAGGCATTCAAACACCTCATCAGCAACCAGATATCAAATAAATGCCCAAACCTTGTTTTGAGCAGTTCTATTTGAGAAAGGTTTCCTTTCTTCCAAACTGCATCTGCAGATTGTATCACTTTAGAGAAGAAGGCGCACAACTACCCATGACCAGAGGCTCATGCTTAAGACTGAGGGTGTCGGTCATAGCAGAGCCATAATGTTATCTGCATGCTTATTTTGGCCGCTGAATATCCAAATGTCCTAAATTTAATGTCTGAAGAAGGCCTGTGATCAAACTGTTGCTCTCTCAGTGAAATGCTGATGGCGTGCAGGATGTGGTCTGCAGATACCTGATGTCCCCTCTCTCGCATACTTACACCGGACTCCTCTCAGTCATTAATGTCGGTGTCAGTTCCTCCATTTTTGTTCCTTCACTGCTTGTAACTTCTGCTGCACACTGGATTTTCACTCAGAAAAGCAGCACAACACTGCAGCTATGGCAAGAAAAAACATCGTTCTCCTTTATTTATCCATGTAAAAGTCTCACTGAGATTCAAATCTCTTTTCTAAGAGAGACCTGGCCAAGAGGGCAATTTGAGAGGTCTCGACCTTCAGCCTGCTGGTGTTTGTAGAAAGTTCATGAGCTGGTTGAGTAAGAAAATAGTTTCGATTGAGCCTGTGTTGACTTTGAATTACCAGGTCAAAAGGTTTGGAGGCATTTCTAAAATAATAACTCCGGCACGTGGGTATCGTACACGTAGATGAGGCTACAAAGAGACACTTGTTGATTGTGCTCTCAGGAAAACCTATGAGGTGATTTGAAGGCTTAACACACATCTTGCAATATAAACGTGAACTCTTTGCACACCCTTAACTCCAACCTTATGTCACAAGCAGCACACAGAAACCGGCTAACGCGCATGTAAACAAAGAAAAGCATCCAGGCTTTGCGTCATTCGAACAACCTGAAGTGCAGAAGGAAAGAGAAGCAGCAGTGTAAATAATTCCTCATGGTCTGCACTACGAGAGACAACAGTGCTGGCTGCCAGCCCCACCGACTCGGAGGCCTTTTGCTGTATTCATCATGCCGAGACGATGCTGAAGCAGCCTGGATGAGATTACGTCTCACTCTCTCGCCCTCTCCGCTGATTTGAGGATGCTTAAACTTTGACCTGTTAAGCAGGGATACACCAAGCCATTGTTTGGTGATTTTGCACTTCTTCGCCACTTAACAATTCTCCCGCTCTGATGTGCTGAAAGGGCTGTAATATTCTGACACAGCAACAGGAAGTGAAGATAAATTATTCAGAAGAGGGGTGACCTGCTGGCTCTTGGCCTACCTGGGCTCTTATCAAGCATGCATTCTCACAGCCGCCTCTCTCGGTAAAATTAGATGCAAACACACACAGATACACACTCTCCAGCTCACATGAGCAAGCACTTGTGCGCCTCGCCTTCTGTGAAAGAAATTAGGAGAGTTCGTGCAGCACAGATGGAAGGTAGAGCTGGGTCAGAGATGGATCGATACTGCGGGACTAACATGGCTGTGGCAGATTTACAGATTAGCCACTTCAGAAGAAACCCATGCTTCAGATCCGTCCTGGCCCTCATCAATATGCAAACGTCAGCTGTTAGCTTCTTAGCCTAACTCTGGTTTAGGAGGCATTTTTCAAGGTTACTGCAAACAGCAGACTAAGAGTGCAAAAAAAGAAGTGTTTGGGAAGTCATGAATACATGCATGGTGTTAGGGTTTTAGACCACATGTGGACAGCGTGTGGGGGCGTGAAAGCATCAGTGTAACAACTTGATTAAATCATCCATTAATTCAATTTTAGGATTAGAAAAGACTGATAAGCCAAATTTGGGGCCATTTTTCTGTATATATTGGGACAAATGGAAGACACTGTAAAGCTCTTCCTTAATCTCTGTTGCTCTTATGAACTTTAAATGAATAAACAGCATTTCTGTGTGTGTTTGCGTCACATAGCTGCGTGTGCTGTGGCTAAATTATACTCAAAGCAAACACAGGTTACAAATGCAGATGATGTACTCGAGCTAGCAAAAGAATCCACGTTAGGAAGGAGCCGATGTTGCCTTGCTGTTAGCTCTGGATGGAGCTGTGCTGTCTAACTCCCTCTCTGTGTCTCCCTCTCCAGGGATGACCTTTTTCGTGTGGAGCTGGACACCACTGCAGGAGATGAGATGTTTTACAACAAGGTAAGCACCTTCTTAGCAGACACGCATGGCAGTTACAGCCTTTTAGGTGCGCACGTCACTTGTCTCCAAGCTGGAAAATGTCATTTTCCACGAGAGAAATGCCAGGGTAAGCCGCAGCATTTATCCGTGTTTCATTTCATTTATAGAAAAGAACGTGGGAGTCAAACAAGAACGACATCCGGATCTGCAGGATGAAGGGCAAACATGAGGTGAGACGGCGTCTGTCTGTCTTAATCATGCTGCAGAGTCTAAACATCCAACAGATTCAGACTAACTTTAGTCATGTTTGTGTCTTTATTTGCATCCAGTAATTCTCCTTTTAGCTCTGATTTTGTCTCCACTCCCTCCTGGGCAAAGTATCCGGCTCTTGAGCCGATAAATGCTCCGCCGTGTTTTCCAGCTCGACACTGAGCCTGCAGACCTGAGTACTGTGTGTTTGGGGAGGTTTATTCGCTAAAAGCTGCTCGCTGTGCCAGAGAACAGCATCGACCAGAAAAGTGACACTCGGCCGAAACAGTGGACAAGAAAATCAAAAGTACCCACTTAAAGACATAATAAATCTCAGTGGAGCAGCAGAATCAGGTGGCTCGGTCATTTTTAGAAGACTCTGTCACGTATAAATCATGTTGATATGATTTGATCACAGCAGCTGAAACGGCTCAATCGCTTTTCCAAACAACAGTAGCTCGTAATCCATAAAATCCGTAAAGGGATGATATTAAAAATGTATTTTATTGCTCTGTATGAACTATAAATGGTTGTAGCTGAAGGAGACTTTGGACATGCCTGGTTGGTGGATAGAAACTTGATTTTATTTTGCATTTTCTCTGTTTTTCACCACTTTTTTTCATATTCTCTGAACTGTTTGTCGTTTCATTTCGTCATTTGCATTTGCGGTAAATTGGAGCGAGTGGTGTCTCTCTGCAGCTTGAGTTGTTTTGCAGCACATGTGAGCTGCACAGTGGCACAAAGTCAGTAAAAAGCTGTTTAAATCAATCAGCTTCCTTTGAAAAATACTTCAGCAAGGCTTCAGTTACACTGTCTCTGCACACATGTGCACACATGGGCACACGCTTTGCTCTCCTAAATTATGCCACGTTTTACCTTTTTTGCCTGGAGCCTTGGTTTCTCTGTGCCAGTCATCTGATTGTCAGCCCTGCTGGCGCAGCCTTAAGAAGGAGGGCTATGACCACATATTATTGTCCCTGCTCATCCAAGCCGTCAGTCACGAGCAAACGTGCACATCGATTGGAAGAGCACGCAACGTTAAACTCATCCCACCGTCGTGAGTTAGGCCTGCAATCTGTGCCCTCGGAAAATGCAGGTGGGCGTCAGGAAGCCGAGGCGGTGAGGAGGGATGGGGTAAAATGTCCCTGCAGCCGGCGGCAGCCCACGCCTGAATACCTCTTATATCTCCGGCACACACACTCAGTCCTTGCTGCGGCTGTCTGCCGAACACACAAACATCACGTATTCAGTGTCTGCGTGTGTGGGTGTATGCAGCTGTGATGGTTGTGGTTGACAGGGGAAACATGGGCTCTGTCCCCTCCAGGCACACAAAAAATGACTTATTTAACACAGTGAGAGAACACCTGACATTAAATCTGTGTGAGACATCGCCAGACAGAAGCACAACGGAGAATAGTGGGACAGAGACAAAAAGCTCGGCACAGAGAAAGGAGGGGGCGAGTGTGGGTCCCTGTTGGCCGGCCCTGCGGAGAGCCGTGGGGCTGACTGAGATATGAAAGGTCTTCTTGCCCCTAATGACTGTGCTGCCTGGTAATGCTGTGAGTCACACGGCAATGTGAGGAAGATAAGAACACTGCCAGGTCCTCTCAGTCAGCTCTCTGGGCTCAGATGCATTTGAAAAGACGTGCGTGTGTGCGCGCGTTTGTGTGTCTGTGTGATTGCATCCAATCATGCACTCACTCCCTGACGGTACATCTTATATTTGCTGTTAAAATATGACTTGAACGCAGTTATTTTTGTTTCAGTAATTACACTGAAAACAGTACAATGAACATTTTTAATTAACCTCTGACAGTATTAGCAAAGATGCAACATTTTGAAGGCTTTTCTTTTTGAACATATTACATATTCTGTTTCTGTTTTCTGCCAGAATAAGTACAATTATTATAATCACTCGTATTTAAAATGCATTTTTAAAAAATTCTGTAATTTTTTTAACCATGCAGAGGCTGCTTTACTGCCTAAGTAATGATATGAAGACATAGCAAAACCACTAACCAAACACGAAATAATTTGTGGCAAACCAAGAGCTTGATAAAGAGAATAGCAGCAGTATTTTTACAGTAAATGCAAACATCCATCCATAATATTTTCTTCCACTTATCTAGATCAGTGTCTTAAGGGGTCAGAGCCCATCCCAGCTGTCATAGAGAGACAGGCCGAGTGTATCCTGTACAGGTCACCAGGGCTAACACCTGCAGCCAAATTAGAATCACCAGTTAACCTAACTCCATGCATGTCTGTGGGAGTACCTGGAGAAAAGCCTTGCAGACACAGGAGAACATGCAAACTCCTGATAGAAAAGCCCCAGACTGGATTTGAACCAAGGAGGTGACGGTGCTAACCACTGCACCTGCATGGCGTCCACCTGAGAGATCATTTATTGATAAAGTATCTCCATCTGAATTAGCATCGTTAAATACTGTGAAGTCCTGTACACACTGTGTGAGTTTGGGCTGTCCCAGACAGAAGACGACCAAGAATCATGATGACATCTTCAGCATCACAGTGAAAGCGGTTCAGATCGGACAGATTTGATGGTCTTTGCAACCAAAATTCCCACCGTGTCACCGTGTTTGACTCTGTGTCTGTCGCTTTGACGCAGAAAAAGGAAAGTCTAGTTGTGTTGGGGTAGCAAAAGCTGTTTTACCGTTGTGTCCTTCAGCTGTTGAAACCACGCCGGTCGAGGAGGAGGAACGTGGAAGCAAATAGTGCAGGAGTAACGGCGGTGTGTTGTAGCCCATCATTTACAGCATTAAACCTGATGTCCTACCACAGTATATCGATGCCTTTGGATTGCAATAAAACTAATATTTACTGCTGAACTTGCACAGTGGTCACATGAACATGAATTCTTTTAGAAACTATTCTCACAGAGTCCACATCCTACGTCAGGGGTGGGCAATTCCTAACCTGCATGTCAAAATACAGAGAAATAAACAGATCTTTACATGTAAACGTGCAGAATGGAGTCCCTGTAAAGAGCCAAAGTGGGAACACGTTTTCTGGAGTGCATTTGATAAAATAGATAAATGGACACACAGAACAGGAAGTCTTTCCCAGGAAGTCCTCCAGCCACAGCGGAAACCCAAATTATTGGCTCACAGTCATCAGACTATAGCTGCTGGACTATTAAACTTGAGTAAATAATTACAGCTGGTGTGCAATTGTGTGTTTTCTGCTTCATTCATTATGACTTTATTGAGCTGAAGGGCTGCTTGGAAAATTTGGGGATTTTTAGATTCTGCAAGGCGGCTTTTGAGCTCAGACAATTATGTTATTTAAAATGCACATATGATGCCACGATGATGATAAAATGTGCATCACAGTATCAATATGATCTTGTTATATCGGTCTCTGCAGTGTTTACTGAAGCACTTTTGCACTTGATTGCATCAGACCGCTGCGGGCGCGTTTCTTACCCCCTGTTGCCGTTTTGATTATCATGCTGGAGGTCAAGGAGGATGCCTGAATATTTAACAAAAGAAGAGCCATTTCATGCATTAATGCATGGACACGGTGCAGAGGTTTGGGTAAACATGGATGAGGGATCATCAGCAACACTGTAAATCCTGTACATTTATACACGCCGTACTTTAAAGTCTCTCTCTGCTGCACCTTCCCTCCGCCTCACATTTCATTCTCTTTGTCTCTGTGGCTGCAGAGGCAGATAGAAGAGCGCGGTGCTGGAGGACTGTTGCTGCACCTTTGCTGGCAGCACGACAGGCCTTCTACACTAGATGTCATGCCTCTTATTCACGAGTGCTGTCGTGCTATCCAACAGCACACATTGTTGGCTTAGTTTGGTTCAGTGTGAACAACCACAGGCAGCATAACGAGGAGGTCTTCTCACCGCCGTTACGGTGCGAAAGGACCTTTTGTTTCTCACCTACCCGTCCACAAGCACAATCAGGACTCTGTTGTTTTACGTGCCTCCCTTATCCTCTCCCCCACACTGGTTCCCCTCCTCTCCTCCACTTCACCTCCTGTAAATGTCCCGTTCTGCTCGGGGGGACGGTTGTGTCAGATGTGATACATTCGCCACCTCATAATTGGTTTTGTAATTAAATGTTTCTGCTTGGTTGATCGCAAAGGACATAGTATCTCCCTAATTAGGCTGAAAATTCAATATCCTAATCCTTTCACCTTTTTTTCTTTTCCCGTGTTGACCAAGCTGCTGTCGATGAATGCAACAGTCGGCCTTGTTGTCACTCACTGCATATTCTACCCACATTAGATTTTCCTTTGTCCGCGCTTTCCGCTGTCTCTTTATCTCGCTCGTATTTGCCCTTTTGATTGTCTCTCGCTGCCATTCGCTCTCCTTATTTCCCTCTTTCCTTTCTCTCCTCACAAAAGCAAATCGCACGAGAGAGAGAGAGAGCACGATGCTGGGGGTGAGAGGTGGCTCTGTGCCAGTGTATCAGGCTGTGGCAGCATGGGCATGTAGACGCAAACAAAGGCAATACTATATAGTAGATGCTTAAAGAGCGGCCAGGCATCATTATAAGCAGCACTTAGCAAGATTGTTTGATCAATATTGTGTTAATCGTGCTCTCAGAGGAGCTTTGGGTTTGCAGTCATCCGACTGTTTCTGTGTAGAATCATCACAAGCTGTGGTTTTATTGCTTTTTCTCAGCTTAAAACGCTCCAGGTGGAGTCATCGTCATCTTTTTCTTCGGACTGGCCAGTGTCTCGTGTTTCTGTGTATTTTGATTGTATTCAGCGTCCCAGGCCCCACACACTGCTGTGGACTGCACTCGAGCTCATCACCAAGGACCAGGACTTTTTAGGGTCAAAGACTGTGAATATGAAGAAAAGAAGGGTTCGTGGTGCCTTTGGTTTTCATGATGTTTGCAGCATACAGAATCACATTTAATTAGAATTAATCTGGTTTACGTGATCGTTTACTCAGCAGGTCTGCAGCTGGAGAGCTGTGCAAAGGTGATCCAGGTTAAGTGCTACGGTCAAAGATTGAAAAATGTATGTGTGTGTGTGTGTGTGCTCGGACGACCCGGCGAGCTGTAGGTTTTTACCAAGTTTCGGCTCGCTCTCTGCTCATTTATTCTTGTATCTCTATCATCTCACTTCTTCGTCCTGCTTGTGCGTGCTGTTTGTTTGTGGCCTGTGGTGTGTTCAGTCAGAATTACCATCAAACGCTAAAGAAGGGCTTCAGAGGGATGCGGATTAGCTTTAACATGCTGAGTAAGACCGCAGCACTCTGAACAGCACAGTGGTGCTAATTTGGTAACGCTGTTAATTTATCCTCCGCCCACATGCACACAAACATATACACACACTTTGTTCCTGCCACGAAGAGTCACTCTGTTTCCAGTCAGAATCGTGCATCGGGGATTTTTCTGGAAATGACAGACCTGTTGTTAATGAGTGGGGAAGAGGGTTCGCCAAGGCTTTGTGTGCGTGTGTGTGTGAGTGTATTGTGTATACAGTATATGTGTGTGGGTGAGTTCTGGCTCAATGGCGGCTCTTGGCAGAGCAGTGCTCTCTTCTCCCTGGTTGCTAACATCAGGGGACCAGCCAGGCATGTAATGGAAACTTTGGAGATTTAGAGGAGCAGCTTGCTAAATACGACCCCCTGATGTACTGCCTTAGATGGCTCCCATTGTACAAAACATTACTAAACCGGGTCATCGTGATAACTTATTATATTTTATGGGACTATGAAAACTGCTGTGGTTGCTCCTAAAACAGGAAAATGAGCAGAATATTTTACGACCCTTACCTGTTTTGTATTTTGGTTAGAGCAAAGATAGGAATCTTTATTGTAGCTGGAGGTAAAACACCTTGTTCTTGAAGTTTGGAGTAAAGAGTGATCGTTAGGAAAAAAACTCTGAGCTGAGGTTTATGCCGAGTGAAAAGGTTGTTATCATCGAAGACTGAGGGCTGAGTTCTGGACAATAGATGAAAAGCACATGCTGAAGGTGGAGCCTCCTCGGTTTTAATGGTGCTTGTTGTTGTGTTGCTGTGGATTCTCTGTGCGTGATTGCTTACAATTATTTTAAAGCTGGTGGATGTGCATATTTCTGTGTCTCTGAGGAAGAGGTTAGCTGTGCAGTGGGAAATGCACTTGCTCTGTCATCGTCTGCAGCATACAGCTAGCCCGGCTAACATCTGCCTCAAGAGCGAGGAACTGATTAAACCCTGCTGTCTGCCAGCATCTAGTTGATATAAATGTACATTTGCATATGCAAACATGTGCAAACACTTGTGCAGCATCTCTTGGTAGCTTTCCACACTCTCTTTTTTTCTCATTCCTCTGTAAATTTATCCCTTCATTGACAATTACGTCCATATTTGCACCGAGGCGTGTGCTCCTGTGTAACTCATCTGTGCTGCAGATTAATTTTTCAGAGCACAGGCAGCTCTGCCGCTGTCAGTAAGAGGAGCAGGAGAAGGAAGAGGAGGAGGAGGGCTGCAGTCGTCTGGGTCTCGGGAAGGCTTGCCAGCCAGCACAGGTGGCGTTTTGCCTGGATTCTACCCAGGGAGAGGGGATGCACAGAAAAGGGGAGGAGGCATCAGACCGTACAGCACATGGGTTTATATATGATTGTTTAATTCACAGCATGATCCTTTATAATAGGTTTGTTGTGTTTTTTATTTTAATGTGAAGCCCGCAGTTAATCCTGCTGCTGCCTGAATTGGGCTTTGAATAAAAAAAAGACTCGTATCTGGAGTGCCAAATGACTCCCTGGAATAGATGAATGGGGATTAATAAAATGCATGTGTGCAGCACAGGATGAGTTTGGATGATGTCTGTAAAGTGCAGAACTGAATAGTTAAAATGTTATAAACCTTGTTTTATTCTAAAGTCATGAAATCCTTAATGTTAGCTGAACAGCCACTGCCAAGTGAACACATTTGTGCAGCGGTTTGGCTCTTCTGAGTATTCGCTCCCATCTCCGAGATGCTGGCAGTGGGTCTGGGTTGTTATTAAGAGTGCTTCATCTGGCTTTGTGATTACAGCTCTGACCAAGCTGACAGACTGCAGCCCCACCGACAAACAGCATGCAAACGATTCTCACACACGAGCCTGCATCTGTGCTGTGATTCTGATGCACGCACACACAAACGTACTCGTTACATGTGTACTTAACTATATGCATCACGCAACACTCTGCGTGTGTGGGAGTGACACGCACACGCCCGCAAGTACTGTGACAGTCGCACTTCTGTTTGTCACATAGCGGCGCAACCATTAGAAATTTGCACCTTGCGCTCGACTCACTTCATGCGCTCACACCGTTCACGTGGAAACACTTCCTGCTTTCCTGTTTCTTTCTTCCCGCTGAAAGACGAGATCCCTGCGGGGAGAGAAGGGGAAAGGTGGGGGAGAGGGTGGAGCATCTGGAATAACACTCAGCCGTCTCGCATATCACTGCTTTCCCTCTGAACTCTTTGGGTATTCATATCTTGTGGGGACATCTAATTGACATTATGCTTTCCCTAGCCCCTTACCTTAACCCTAACCATTAAAAATGAATGCCTAACCCTAACCCTTAGCCTAAACTTACCTAACCATAAACCACCTGGAACCCTGACACTAAAACCACATTTTCAGCCTCAAAAATGCCTTCAAACTCGTGGGGACTAGGATTTTGGTCCCCATAAGGATTGTTGGTCCCCACACGTATAGTAAACTTACCATTTTTGGTCCCCACAAAGATATGAATACACACACACACACACACCACTTTTATTTCATCTCTGCTCCTCTTTCCATCAACATTAATGTGGGCGGTGGTCTTGAAGTAGACCCCATCTGGTGTGTCTGTGCGTGTGTGTGTGTGTGTGGCAGAGCTGGTGCCATCGTGGCTGGGACAGTGGTGTGCTGTGGTGTGGGTTGGGGGTTGCTGGCTGTATCAGTGATCTACTGTACATGACCACTCACTCTGCGTACTCGGGCGGCTGTGCAAGTGCAAATTGCTGTCAGTGCCTTTTGACTTTTACAGTTAAAGGTCACATCTGAAATTTGTGCTTAGCAACCATGGATGGAAAAATTCCTTCAGGAAATCAGAACATAAAATCATACTTTCAGGCTCATGCGCTGCCCTGTGTCGTCTTACAGATTTGTTTTGTGTGCAGTGAAAAGAGTTTCAACAAAATCCTTTCCTATAAATGAATAATCTTAGTTAAGTAGCGTAATAGTGCGTGGGTGGTATAATCAAATATAGCTAAATTACCTCAACTAAATGTGCTCATTATGTGCAATGACACTTTTCAAAATCATATATATGATTTTATATATTAGATTCTAATTATTGATTTATATCTCTTTAATTTTGCAGCTACTGAGTTTGATCACCAATATATTGCTCAGTAGCTTGATCTATAATAATGCAATTAATCTCTAAAATAATAAGTAAATAGTATGGAGGGTGAAGTGCAATGATTGCATTCAAAATATGAAGCTGAAAGCAGCAGAACATGGAAATTAATAAAGTACTCGGGAATTAGTGAGTAGGTGAGCAGAAAGATTAGAAAAGCGTTTCCAGTAATTAAATTAAAAGGAAGTTAAAAAAAATAAATAAAGCTGCTCGTTCACCTAAATGCTGCAGGAAAGAGAGTGAAGTCTGCACAGTAGCTAACACATAAGCTAACCTGTACGGTTACAGATCTGTGATTAAAATAGTTATCGATCAGAAATGAATAAACGAGAACGCTTAAAGTAATCAATAAGCTGTTGTGATATAAGGTATGATATATAGATATACAGTATGTTTAACATGACAGACATGGCTGAAACAAATAGATGCACTTTACTGGTACATGAGGTCAAATTGAAAACTAAAAATATTAATAAATAAATTAATAAATGATGCCTTCTAATGAGCTAAAGATGATCGATAACGTGCTTTAACAATAAATGAAGAAACATTTTTAGTAGCACAGTATAAATGAATAAAAAAGCTAACAGTAACAACACAGTATATGTGTGGAGACACCAACATTTATCTGTATTTGGGACTGTGGGGCAAAAACCGCCATCATGGTGGTGCTGAACTCACGACTGTTCAAAGAATGAAAATGCGACTTGCTGTTATTTATTCATTACACGCGCTTCACGTATTGAGAAATTAGCCTTAAATCTGCCGCTTGTTCTAAAATCCTAAGGCTGCTTTGGATTACCCTCCGTCAATCAACTGCTGTGTGTATGCGTGCACGTGTGCGTGCATGTGTGAAGGGGGTAGACGCCTAAAGTCTCTGCAGGCTACGTTCAGACTGTATCACTGTGATTGACAGCAGTAATGGTGTGATAATTCCACACATCAGGCAGCTGAAAAGCTTCATTTCACAGAGCGGTTTGGCTAATCAGCGTCTGAAAAATAAAGGGTTTTTTTCTATTTGCGCCATCATCTGTTCCTCAGACTCACCCCTCCTGCATATTAAGCCTATTCTCTGTATTTCTGTCTTTCTCTCGTGCAGGATGAATGCCGTAACTTCATCAAAGTGCTGCTCAGCAGAAACGGAGGCTTGTTTTTGTGTGGAACCAACGCCTTCAACCCGCTGTGTGCCAACTACACTGTAAGTAAACCCAAGGCGGGTGATCGCAGCCGCCCTACGCCGCCACCTGCGAGCGGTCGAGCGCCTCTTAGCTGATAAATAATGTCTATTTTTACAACAGAGTCTCCCTCCTATAGATCAATTAGTGCACTTGTTCAGGTGAGAACGCACAGCTTCATTAGAGCTTCATTTGTCAAGCAGTTGAGTCAGTGCCGACTGCCTCCCCAGGAGTTATTTATCCTTGTTGTCTGGCAGCTCCAGCGCCTCGTTTTCCTGAGATACAACAGTTGTTATTTCTCGGCGGTTAAACTTTGTGGTCTGCCGAGCTTGTTATCATTGAGAGTCAGAGACAGAAAATCAAGAAGAACACAAAGAGGGGAAAAGAGGGAGAGGAGCGTATTCACAGAGTAAGGCTGCTGAGACGTGACTTGTTGCGGTAAAGAGAGAAAAGCAATGCCACAGATGGAGGCGGAATCTAAAAGATGCCAGAGTTCGAGCTACAACTGTAAGCGTTGACTAGCCAAAATGTGTTCTGAATATTTCTCCAGCACTGTCCCACAGCACATTTGTCAGATTCTGAAGGTTTGCATCCATCAAGCAGCAAGTCACCAGAATCCTCCACCGTGCAGGGAGCGCGCTCCACTTCTTAGCCTATCCCTGTCGCGCTCAATTACAGTAACCGTTTTAAACTTGCAGAAGAAGAAAAAAAAAACCTGCGCATAAATATTAATCATCGACTGGGGTGATTTCACATCATTCCGCAGCGATATTAAACGAGGAACGAAGGCAGTGGAGTCGGAGGGAGAAAGAGAGAGAGGAAAAAAATCCTTTCACTATCAAAGGCTTTCTCAGATAAGTGTTATTTTCAGTCTCTCACATTTCAAACACGGTGCAACAGTGGAACACTGAGACGTACTTGCCCCATTATCTGTCAGCCGCTAATGACATTCTACAACAGCGTATACCTCACCTGTCTCTGCCTGATAGGCTGTCATTTTCTCTGGGGACTAGTTAGTGATGCTAGCTACTGTTTTATTTAAAGCAGGGTTTTAATGAAATGACACCTATAAATTATTTCATTTCAAACAGCCGATGAGAGCTGAAGTCTTCCAAATCTGCTGCTCTCCTCAAATAGTTGCTTGCGGCGACCTTTAAACGGTTTGTGTTTGTGTAATTGATAGTGAAAGAATAACAGAGATTTTATTACATGAGCTGCCAATTTTATTGAAATGTACACGTGTGGACGTGGATGCATAGATGTGTATGCGTCTGTGTGTGTGTGTTATTTATGGATGAAAATGGGACTCTCTTGTTGTTTGCCGCTGTGCCTAATTGCCTCCAGTGAATCATTAGTTTGCACTTATGGTAACACTCCCTAATTGCCATTCTCTTGTGGTTTGTTTTCATGATGCTGCTGTAGATGTATTCATATTGTTTGGAGTACCCAGATTGATGCATGCATCTAATTGTGTTTGTGTGTGTGTGATTTAACAGGGAGACACTCTGGAGATGCTGGGAGACACAGTCAGTGGGATGGCCCGGTGTCCCTATGATCCCAAACACGCCAACGTAGCTCTGGTCGCAGGTACGACACGGTTTGTTTAGCGTGTGCTGTCACACAATGAGGAAGTGTGCGATGTCATCAAAAGATATTTTTGTCCCTTGAGCAGAACAAAAGAGAGCCGCAGCGTTTCCTCAGCTTCAGTTTACCCCGTTGTGTTTGAACTCGTTCATTAATAATCAATAGTGTGTCTGAAACTGTTCAGATCCTTATCTGATATTAGCTGGTAGTAAAAGAACGAATGTTATTTTTGTGTGGGCGTGTAGAAAAGTTGCAATTACATTGTTGAGTGGTCAGTCACATCGTGTTTATAATGCAGCGCATAAAAGGTCACATTAACTCCAGCTTCACTGTTTATGATGGTGCTTTGGCAGACGATCCAACTCACCAGCTGTTTTTATGTGTGTCTGTGTGTCTGTGTGTGTGTATCAGAGGGGAATCTGTTTACGGCCACAGTGACGGACTTCCTGGCCATCGACGCGGTGATCTACCGTAGCCTCGGGGACAGTCCTGCTCTGCGCACCGTGAAGCACGACTCCAAGTGGTTCAGAGGTATCTGCAGACACGTGTGCGTGTGTGTGTGTGGACGCTTTGAGTGGGCGTGTTCGTTTGTGTGCCGTCAAGCATAGTTATGTCGGCGCAGCGCGCTCAGCATCACGCCTGCTGTTGATGTTAATGTGAGTCTGATGGCTGGAGTTTGTGTCCACATTACTTAGCAGCATGTGGATCGATGCATATGCTGGTAGGACAGGTCTGAGTCAGCATGCAGGCAGCTAGCTGTACACAGAGCTGCCTCTTTCACAGAATCACCCATATTACACAGTGTCCGACCAAACGTTTGTCCCCCCTGGCCAGCAACAGGATCTCAAAGTTTTACTTTATCCTTGTATATTTTTGTTGGCTCAGGGGGAAAGGAAGCTAATTTTAATAACTTTATATGCTGCTGTGATAGTACAGCAGAATCTGTTAGTAGACCTAATCTAAACCTGTAAAAATACTCAGTTTTTAACCATTTAAAGTGCCTCATGAATCTAATACATGATGCACATGTCAATCAAAAAAGCCGCAGATCCACCATAAATTATACCTGTGATGACAGCGTCGCTGGCACGGTAGCTGTGTTCGCAACAAGCTCGTTGTGTATTCATTATTCACAGCCATGCTCCTAGATACACGCTACATTTGGCACATGTGTATGTTTATTCGAGCATGCAGGTAAAATGCTTCCACCGTTGAGCCCGTCATGCCCCTTCAACGCCGTGTGCAGCATCGTCTGCTTCCTTTGACGTGACGCGTTTGACTGAAAAACACTGCGTGCACTTGTTGGTGACTTTGACTGCTGGAAACAAGCGGGCCAATCACAGTGCATGAAAGCTTTTTTCACAGACTACGGCTTTTGTTATTCGTTGAAACGCAAGATCCTACAGTTATTTTACAGTTCGAATATTCGAGAGTAAGACACTTTGCATTTCCAGTGCTATTAGAAACCTTCTTGCGGTGTTTATGCTACAAAGTAAAAATACAGAGTGTGATTGGTGGACACTGTCACCAGACTGAGTGGACCTGCCAATCACATTGCCCGAGCCCCTGGTCTTAATGCTCACACAGGTTTTAGAAGGTCCCAGGCACGCCTGCCTCGTTCCTCGGAAGCACGAGGGAGTCATAATGTGCTTATTGTTTGCTGTGAAATCCCCTTTCACCATGTAATGAAATTAAGCGTGGCTGTTGCCTCTTTCTCACTGCCCCCATGTCGCTCGGTTGCTGTGGGAATTAATGATGCATTTGCAAATAGAAATGCTGTTTTGTTATACTCGTTCTCGCCTGTACTTCATGAAACCTGTTCTCTCTGTGCACCACTCCTGCACACGTCGCCTTTCTTGTTTGCTTCTCTGAGTGTTTCTTTCTCTTACGACACAGAGCCGTATTTTGTCAGTGCCGTGGAGTGGGGACCTCACATCTACTTCTTCTTCAGAGAGATAGCCATGGAGTTCAATTACCTGGAGAAGGTAAAGAAGTCATTGCGAAGGAAATATATTCTCCTCCCCTGCTGAGCACTCTCACATTACCTTGAGGTCCATTCACAGCATCTTTTAAAAAGAACTGGAGAGAAATGTGGGAATCTATCATTAGAATGCAAGCATGAAGAGAGCTGCAGGTCTACTATCTCTCTGTTAAAAACTGCGATGACCTTTCACCTTTGTATTTGTTTACGTGCATATCTAATGCAACAAGTCACGTTATTACAGCTGTCTGTATTAACCTAAGAAAAACTGGTCGATTTTCTACTGACTTGATATATTTCTTGCCCCCAGAGCAGTAGCTGCATCTTTATTAAAACTAAAAATAAATAAATATAAACCTGTTTCTTTAATAAATTAGCAATTCACTTTTGGGGAGTGTTTGCAAAAGGTCCCTGGCTGCGACATGTTTACAGAGAGCAGAGTAAATTGATACTTAAGCAGCATCGCTATTGTGTGTTCAAAGAAGCAATTTTGAGATGCACTGACATTTTCATGAATAATTGATATTAGATTTAGCATTATAAAACAATGATCTGTCAAAAAAGGGTTTCCACATTGCAAATAGCATGCAAATGACTCTTCAGAGATCGCCCTGGAGTTAAAAAGAGCTTTTTAATATGCAGTTTTCAAGATGAAACCTCAGGAAATATTAACTGCCCAGCTTTGGAGTCATCGGAGATATAAGCAAGCTGTGCTCGTTCTGTATAGTAAGTATCATATTCTCTGCTCGCGGCTCCTCACAGGTGGTGGTGTCACGCGTTGCCCGGGTATGCAAGCGGGATCAAGGCGGGTCTCAGCGCGTCCTGGAGAAGCAGTGGACGTCGTTCTTAAAGGCCCGTCTGAACTGCTCCGTGCCCGGCGATTCCCACTTCTACTTTAACCTGCTCCACTCCACCAGCCCCATCATCAGGATGCACGGCAGGGACATCGTCCTGGGGGTGTTCTCCACACCAGCCAACAGGTACCTGCACAAACAGGAGACTCTCTCACACACAGGGAGACTTAAGACCCCTGAATCGTGGCCTTTCCTTCATATGTGAAGAGCGCGGCATGTACATTCGACCAGCGCAGACCTCCATTCTCTCAAAGAATCCACACGAGTCCTCTGGTTATAGAAAGTCCAGCTGTACTTGTTTCTTGGTGAGCTTATGGTATTTAAAGTCTTGCTGAATGTTCATTTAATAAATTATGCTCTTCATTAGAGTAAAAAAGCAGGATAAAGTAGGTTTGCACACATGAACAATGTCAAAATTGGTGAAAATGCTCAAGTCAAGACTCTAACTGTTGATCTTTTATATACAGAGTGCGGTTGTGTCCCAGACTCCTTTGTCCATTTCACATTTTTATGACACTGCTCTTTCTTTGCCTTTGTATGAACTCAGTATGGGATGTTCAGGTGTGATATATAACTCAACATTGAGTTGTTTTCGTGAAATCACTGCTTATATTACATCATACGCGCAGCAGAACCCCAAAGGGACTGACTTCTGTAAACCTTTCTGCCTTTAAGTGCATTTTTTTGCGGGTTGTTTATTTTTTTATAGATTTTTTTGTTTAATAAATGTGTGAATGAGGCCTGGGGTGGGGGGCTCTGTCTCTGTCATGGTTGGTGTTTTTAAAGAAATGCACATGTGTCTAGTTGCCTCTTTTGTGGACCACCATAGTTTGTATCTTCGCCGACTCTGAGACAAAGAGCAAGGTTTCCTACAAGCTCCAGAAAAACGAACGTGCCTGTGTTGGGGTGCAGAGGTCAGGATTGTACAGAGTAATCTAAGACACATGGAATGCTTTCATGGAGGACAAAAGGGTGATTTGTTGAAAGACACGATTAAACTGAAGAACGCTGAGAGGAGGAGGGAGGAGGAGAGATGTTGCCCGGTAAGTGGGGGATTACTGCAGGCTGAGGGCATTAGCAGAGCCAAAGACAACACAAACTGTAACCCAGAAAAAGTGAGAAAAGAAAATGTAAGTCACAGCTGACTCAAACGATGAGCCTTGGCAGTGTTTTTTTTAATCCCATGTCTCTTTCCTCATACAGTTACAGTAATCTGCTTATCATGCTGCGTTTGAAGATGCTTTCACCGAGCACTTTGATGCTGTTTTTCTCGGCATTGTAAGGCATCATCTTAGAACTAAGTCTGAGCCTAAATTGCTCTGAATGTTTGCGTCCTCCGAGCAGCAGAAGGATGAAAGTCTATGACTATATTGCAGTCTAAGTGGCTCATATTATAGAGCGGGATTCAGTATAGTTTCTCTGTGATGGCCCACTCATGTTACACTACCTCAATGGCATTTGCTGTGTCTGCTAGAGCGAGCACTTTAAAGCACACACTTGGAAATGCTCGCAACCGCCTTCTTTTTGGTGCGATAGCAATCCAAACCTCTCACTGTAATGCCACCAGCAGCCTATCTGCCATCAATCAGTGGTCCCATTATAAGAATATCTTTATTTTTTAGAATATAATGGAGCTCTGTCGCAGCGGGCGCGGGAGGTGCACGGTGGGACAAGCACAGAGGAGACAAGTACATTTAAAAGGGAGAAAAAAGATAAAGAGGAGAAGAGACGGATGAGAAACTCAAGGACGAGGAAGTCAATAACGGACAACACGTGCGTTCTCTGACATCTAAAATTGTTTCATCAGCTGCATCTTATCTGCATGTTTGGAAGGGCACCGCTGCGAGTGGGGGCCACTGCCTGCAGAGACAGATGGATGCTTTATGCACACACAAACTCGCACACTCGGAAACATTCACAGCGGTTCCCAGATAACGGCATTTACAGTTTACCGAAGAAGCGCGCCGGCTAAACACACACACGCCCACACCTGCCTGCGCAACCTGCCGCTGGGCCCTGTTTTAAATAACCCGCAGCCGAGCCAGAGAGAAAAGGAGGTTCAGATGGACAGATAAAAAGGAAAGTAAACACAAAGAGATACAGAGAATGTGTGAGGTGATCTAAAAAAAACCTCCCACTGGCCCCGGTGTGGCCCACTGCGCCACACTGGCCAAGTGCTTGCCAGACAAATTGCTTTGGCTGGCAGCTTGCAGTGAAAACAGCACGAAGAGGGACCCGGGAGTGGAGGAAAGAGCCATTCTCTCCTGCTATTTGGCCTGTGCAGTGTTGGACTGTAGCATGGGAATGAAGTCAGGGTTTTACTGTCTCCCCTGGACGCTCGGGAGTTACTCATCTCCACCTGTGAGCCACGTACCCCTGGAGTCATTTTACAGCTGCTCCACTGTTTTGGATCATTGTGGGATCATTTCATCTCCGTTTCCAGAACATAACATCACCCCAGGTTGCCAGTTCCTTTGTCGATCCAGCGCCGGAGCCCAGGGTCATTTCTCTCCCAACAGGAATGAAAGAGGAGTCCAGACTTCCTACCGACCACCCTCCTGCACACCTGATGCTCAAAAGGTCATGGAAACATCAAACTTATGAGAAAGTGTAGGAGCTTTCTGGTAGCTGTGTTTCCTAGTTTATATAATAAATGATATATCTTTAAAAAAGAGCAGCGGGATGTCAAACTGAAGGGTTACCTGGGGCTGGTAATGAAAACAAACCATTCTCATTATTTTTATTTGTCGTTGTTTTGCCAGCTAAAAACGTCTATTTCTCCTGGAACAGACTGACAGCTCATTAGTTTTGTTATAACCGCCCAGGAATGGAAGAAAAATATTTTATGGAAAACAGAGTAAATCTGCTGCATCCTGAGAGCGGGAGGCCATGTTTGGGTTTGGTTGTAAAGAATCCCAGGGGTCGGACAGCAGGATGCCCCTGTGGGAAAACACAGCAGAGGAGGGGAAATGAGGAGGACAAGGAGCAGGAGGAGAACAGGTTTACGATGCCAGGATGCACAGCTGTGCAAGCTAGACCCCCTGGGTCTGCAAGCAGAGAAGGCACCAGAATACATAATGAGGCAGCTAGCTGTTTCTTGAGAAATGGGCAGTGGATAGGAACAGGTAGCACGTGGAACGACCACGGCACCCCAAACAGCGAGAGTTTAAGAGCGAGGTTTGTTTGTCAAAATAGGCCACGGAGGTTAAGTTAGAGAGAAAACGAAAAATCCACACGGACGTCGAAGGGAAAGATCAAGAGAAAGTATGAAAAACATAATTGTCAAAGTTCAGCGGCGTAGCGGGCAGGATGTGGACACAAATTAAGGACTCGTGAGACAAACGTTAAGTAAAGGGGAGCTTTAATGCTCAACTAATTCAGAAACACAAAAATATAAACTGTGGCTGAACTGGAATAAACAATCCCCAAACTAGGAATCTCAGGGAGACATGGAGCAAGGAAACATACTCCCCAGAGGCAGGACACGACAAAGGACACGACAAAGGACACAACGAAGGACACAATGAAGGACAGGGGGACACTAAATACTCCTGGTATAATGAGGGGAGAGGATACAGGTAGGAACAGCTAACGATAACGAACAAAACAACTCGTGGGGAAGGTAACAAAACAGGAAGAGAGACACAACCGAACAAAGAAAGACAACGAGACCAATGCAGAAAAGGGAACAAAAACACATAAAACTAAATACTGCAGTAACCAAGATACACAGCAACTCGAACATAAGCTAAGATTGAAAGGCAAAATATAAACAGAATGCTGGAAAATATAATAAATGGAAAATAGAAACGTTATCTGTGACATAACAAAAAGGCACAAATGATCCAAATGGTAGAAGTGGAAAAGGTTCCAGTAAACCTTTTTTTATAACATTTTACAACATACTTTACGGGAGCCTCTTGCCCAGTGACAGCCCACAGTTTCATCAGAAACCTCAGAAAAAAGCTTTAAGCCTGTCTGTAGAAATGCTACAGGTTACAAATTTTATTTCTCGACCTTTTTTTGAACAAAATCATCTTTCTATATTTATACCAGAACAGAAATTTTATAACCCTGATGTAAAATCTATAAATACATATATCCAAAGTCTCTGTAAGAGTTAAACCACCAATTAAAAGATTTTCCTTCCGTCCTGTAAAATCCTGGTGTCACGCGTCCGTTTGGACGGTGTGAAAATATTTCAGGCTGTCAGTGAGTTTGTTAAACAGCGAGGAAGCCCTTCAGACTCCACAGAAGTCCTCTCAGACAAACATCACACGAGTCTTTGTAAGCCTTGACAGTCTGCCACTCTACACCAGCAAAGAAGGCAAATTTCAGCAGGCTGAAGGAATGATGGAGACGTAAACAAAGGGAAAGCAGTCTCGAGTATGAGGGAGTAACTAGGAAAATTATTGGAAATGAATTTTGTGTGTGAGAAAACACACACACTGACTTAAAAAATAGTGGGAGAGACAAAGAGAATAAAAATAAGAGTGAGAATAATTAGGAGAGTTCTGTGAGATAAACAGCCCGAGGCTTTTTGGCTTGCTTCTGTCAGACACCGAGCCCTACACGGGCCAAGCCCAGTGACCTGCAGCGAGAGAGAAACATAGAGCCGGGGGCTGGAGGGGCGGGCGAAGGTAGAGAAAGGAAGCCAAGCTGGCGGTGATGCAAAGCTGGCAGATGTGTCAAACATAACATCTGGTGCCTGCAGCCCCGAGAGAGACGCCGTATTGTCCACAGATACGCCCGCAGCTCCGCCGTGCCGCCCGGGGTCGAGTCACATTCCTGCCTACGAACGATAAGTACCCAGGGAGACGGCGTGACCCGATCAAACGGCACATCGGGAGAGCGCGGCTCCCTACCGCAACCAAAATCCAGCCTTCAGGCGCTGCCGTTCCAAACAAACGCCGCGGCTTTCAAGGGGCAATCAACAGAAACGCCTCTCAGCTTGATGCAGCGTCCTGGGGGCAAGCTTCAGAGACCCTCACATTCACCAGCTGGACATTTACTTTTGAAGGAAGCGTGAGAAGAGGAAATAAACAGACGGGGACTCTGTGGGTTTTATGTAGCAGCAGGTTCCAGGTGACTCAGTCTCAGGTTTTTATAATGTGTGTGTGTATCTCTAAGGTATTAATACTGAGTCACTGTTCTCACACCACGCACTCCATTAGTCATTGATGAGGACACAGAGACTTCAGTGTGGAAGGAGGAAGCATGTTCAAAAACTCATTTCTTATCTCACCCTGACACCGCTCTCTTTACTCCTTTGTTCCGTAGTCGAAGCACAGAAACGTGGCCTCAGAAGTGAATCTGACTTTGTGTGAATGTATCTGTATTTGTTGGTTTTGTCAGTGTGTGTTTGCTCGTGTCGAGTGTGGGACACAAACGCTTCTCAGAACAGATGCTCTGCGCCCTTTCGCTGGGTCCGCGAGTAGTTGAACAACCTCCGAGGTGCACCAGGCGTTTTACTGTAACATCTTGTTGGGTTCGTTTCCTTTACGGGAATCTTCTGCCCCCTTTGTGAAGAGAAAATATTCAGTGACTCACTTCCTGTTTGGTTTATATTTCAGGAATTCCAGCCAAGATCTTTTCACGGGCCTAATCTAGCTGTTGCATCCATCGCGTATCTATTCTTTGGACACAGAGTTGACAGCATCTGTCTTACCCTGCTTTTCTCTTCGTCTCACTACCGATTTCCTTTGTGTTCCAGTAATGGATGTCAAAATATGAACAGCCCATATCCAATTTGTCATCTTTGCCGGGTGTCTGTCTCTTTCTCTTGTCACAATTGACTTTCTATATTTTAACTCTTTTCCTATTTCAAGTTTCACAGTCTATTTTTCAGCCGAGCTATAATCTACCTCATCTTCTCTTTTCCGTCACTTCTTCTTCCCGCAGCCTCGTTGGAACGTACAGCCTGCTGACACTGAGCCATTCTGTGTCAGTTCAAAGTGTTTTTATCAATCGCCCGTCTCTGTCTCTGTAGCATTCCAGGTTCGGCAGTGTGCGCCTTTGACATGGAGCAGCTGGCTGCTGTGTTTGATGGAAGGTTTAAGGAGCAGAAATCACCAGAGTCTATTTGGACGCCTGTTCCAGATGAAGTCATCCCAAAACCAAGGTGCAGATGGCGGTAATCAATTTGTGCACCTGTGTTCGAGTTGTTATCAAAGAATGATCAGGGGAATAAAGCTGCGTTGTAAAGTTTTGTTTTGAAGTCAGAGTTGGCCGTAAGACTCTTTGGAAAATGTGTTTTGCAGGTTGTCGTTCGTGGGTAGAGTTTCATCCCCAAAGGGCATATAGACAATGCAAAGTAACATGAGTGAATTTTACTCCTGGGTCTTTCAGTCAGGATCACTTTGGGAAAAATGGAGGATTGTTATTCCATCTGCAGCGAATTATATATATGGCAGTGTGGTTTTCTGCTGAGCTTCTTCCTCTCACACACACTGAAAGCCTATAATGGGGAGACAGCAAAAACCCCAAGCATAGACCAGAGCAGGCTTAGCATTAAAGGGGGAATAGCTGGGATTTCAATGTCTGGGTCTCAAAGTGGCTTGCAGAGAACTGGAGGCGGGAGGGGGCGGTGTAAATTGTGCAGCCTTTATAAGATTTCCCAGTTTTAATGTAGGATGTCTACTTTATACTAAAAAATGCATCGAGGAGACTATTGTTGTGATTTTGTGCTATATAAATTAAATTAAATTGAATTGAATCAACCAAACAGATGGAAGGGTCCCAGCTGAACCCTCAGCTGATGTGTCCTGTGAACCAAAGCTACGGTTGTGCTTTTTATATGATTAAATAAGTAGGAAAGACAAAAGTCTGTTGATACACACTGAAGCAGAAAAATCCCTTATCACAAGGATAAAGCTTGTTGCCCTCCAATCTACGTCTTGTGCTCGTGCATATCTGTCACTTTATTTCTACTTTATATGTCAGGTCCTTTTAACTGAATCAGATCAGTACGGTTTGAAAAAAAAAAAGGATATCTGTCTGAGTGTGAGACACTCAGACTGTTTAGACTGCTTAATCATATAATACTATCTTTGTGCTTAACATGCTTAATCTTATTTTCCCCAGACCCGGTGGTTGTGCCGTTCAAGGATCCAAGTTTAATTCCTCCAACTCCTTCCCCGATGAGATGTTAAATTTTGTGAAGACCCATCCTCTGATGGATGAAGCAGTCCCATCACTTGGACAACGACCCTGGATAGTGAGAACCATGGTCAGGTGAGACGGTCCGAGCATGACTACTATATTATTCACTCAAACTGCATGAATATCTCTTTGCAACATAATGGTGAGACATTTGATTTATTATATCTGTCCAGTTGGAAATATGTCCATACATATAGAATATATATGGACATATTTCATTTTTCCCGTGTTCAGCTGTAACAGCTAAAACAAATTAAATCTGTCATGCTCACAATTGTTTGTTTTGTAACCAAAGTTGAAAATGAATGAAACTGGGGGTGCACATTAATTACGCTTTAACAGTTCAAGTCGCAACAGTTAATTAGAGGAGATGCGGTGTGTATGAGATCTGAAACGGCCTGTAACCCTGTATATTTACATGAACTCCTCCCTTTGCTGAACAGCAACCAACATAAGTTGGTTGTTGAAGCCTGTGGTAGCAGGCAAGCAGCTGTGGCCCATCAAGTCCCACATAAATACTGGTGCCTGCCCCCCGCCTCCAACTGTCTACCGTACGGAGTCCCACAGCCACCAGGGGATTATGGGGACCGGGTGCACGAGGAATATTAAACACCCGGCACAACATGGCTTCTATTCTCATCTACTTACTCACACACACAGAACTCTGTGTGGATCAGCAGCACTCTGCTATTGTCCTAGGACAAACCCATTTACTTGAGTAATATTATTAATGTCGGAAACGTCTGGCGTAATTAGTTTATTATGCAAATTTGATGAGCGGCTTCTTCTCTAAGGAATTCATATCATTTTCCAGTGACTCGAGTGAAAATGGCATATCACGATTTAAATTCACACCAGGCCGTATTTTACATCTAAACCAATAATTTGTAATGCACTTAAATCATAAACTCACCTCCAGAAGCTACTTTGTGGAAGTGAGTCCCAAATGAGCTGCACAGCGCCGTGGCATTAACGCAGCGCTCTGTTTCCCCTGCGGTTCAGGTACCAGCTGAATAAGATTGTGGTGGATACCGAGGCCGGGCCCTACAGAAACCGCACCGTGCTCTTCCTCGGCTCAAGCAGAGGGACCATCCTCAAGTTTCTCATCATGCCCAACCAGGACAATACCGTTACCAATAGCAACATCTTCCTGGAAGAACTGGAGGGCTTCAACCCCGATAAGTAAGCGAGTACAACAAAGCATGATCTGATTAAGAATTACATACGTGTTTTTGGATGTAGATGTGAATAATGTGTGATGGAGACTGCTGGCAGCTTTCTTTCATTAAAAATGAGCCGTTTTCACACATGAACTCGTCGGGCGTCGGGGGATTTAGGTGAGGACAACGTCTGAAGCTGTCCTTTTCCACATGGAGCACACTTCAGACATGTCCTCACTGGAAATACTCCATTTGGTTCAGGCGGCGTCTTTGCTTTTCCCACACGAGTGCAAATAAGTGCAAATCGACATCACATGGACTGCATCGGACTCTTTCATGCACTTCCACTGAGTGATGCATGGTAAAGTTCAGGGCTCCAGTGCATGTGTGAAGACAGTTTATATCGCATCCGTGCATGATGCATAGTACGTGACATGTTAATCAGGAAGCTTTAAAGTTGCTGTTTTCCTTATGTGACTAACTACCCGCAGGCAGGCTTGGTATTTGTTATATAGACACGAAAGTGAAGAAATTCTTTATTATTCCTTTAAGGCACAAACCTGGGTAGTGAGAGAGCTTGGCGTGGAACAGCTCGCAAATAGATGACGCAGGTCGAGGGAAGGAAGGGGTTAAGTGACATCTAGCTTTGATGTATACGCAGCGCGGGGAGCCGGGGAGGTGATGTGGCTCTTACTAAAAGAGGCGCTGCAAGGGGAGACAAAAGCACTTGTCTCGGAAACACGTCGAATCATACAGAAAAGCTCACCTACTCGTTGTGCGATGTACGTAATTGTGGCAGATGTGAGGAGATGAAAAGGCCTGCAAAGAATAGGAATTATGCAAACAGAAAAGAAAAGCGGTTAATGTTCATTATCGAGAAATCTCAACATGTTCTAACGAGCCTGAGAAGAGCAGCATTAGTGAGAAAACATGAGTAATGAAACGATGATAAAATCACACTATCTTTAATCTTGACCAAAGTTCCAGATTGTCAGGAAAATTGACCCCTTATCTTCAGACTGCAGCTGAATCACGTTTAATATCTGGATCTTGGCAGAAGATCGGAGTAGATTGGGCTTCTTGATCCGTTCTAATTAGCATTTTGCACGAGGCGCGCAGCTTTGAGGCTCCTCTGAATGCCCATCATTACGTAATGAACACAGGGTACAATAGCCTTTCAGTCTTCTTTTTGTTCTTTGTTGAGATGGTGGATGACTCCGGGCTGGAAGGGGGGGTTGCCTCACAGATGCACGCAGCTTTGGCTGGTGATTATCATTTACCGAGGCTAATTAGAGTCATTAAAAAAACAAAGTACATGTTTCTAAACACGAGCTTTCTGTTTTAGCTAATTGTGCTCACTGATATATGCCATTTTTTTCCCCTGTGGAAACAAAGTATTATTCCTTCAACCAACAGATTGGCAACACAATCCCATCTCCTCACACGGTTTCACTTGTTATTCATGTATCTACCACTCTCTTTTCTTTTTCCATCTGCCCCCAAACACCAATTTCTGTCAGATGTGACAAAGTGGGGGACAGAGATGATGGCAAGTGAAATGAGAGGGTCCTGTGAATAAGCTTATGTGGACTGGAGTAATTTGGTCCGCGCGGTGAGGTGAGCTTTCCGGGCTTTCACAGCAGGGATCCAGCTAATCAGGAGATGGAGCACTATCACATCATTTTTTTCTGCAGACCGCAGACTCACCTTATATCCACAGACAAAACAGGTCACACAGAAACAGGGCAGCTAACATAGTTCTCACTTAAGAAGTCATCACAGAAAAAAAAACACTGACCTGTGATAGGTCGGCTTCCACAGTGAACCAAGCAATCACCTAAAATCACCGAATGTCTTTCATTTTCTCTTTACCAGACTCTTTTTTTTTTTTTGCCTTATTCCTACATTTGTTAGCTACGTGATCTTTTCTTCACCTTCACTGCCCCCCCCCTCCCCTCTCCCTTTTGTGATATTGGCTGTGAAGAATTGACTCACAGCTTGGCCTTAGCAGAATGATAGATTCTTCTTAATGACTGTGGGCCCGCTGCAATGCTATTACCATAAACCATCCAGATACAACTCATGCATGAGTGCACATGTGCATAAAAAGGTATAAATCAGCTGCGTGAAGGCAGGTCGGTGCCAGCTATCGCAGCTCTAAGTGCCAATTAGATGAGATTCAGCTCCTGGTGCTGGATTTGATGGCCAGCCGACCCCTCGAACTTCTATAATCAGCGCCGTGGATTTTTGGGTTGATACTGTAACATCTACACGCATGGTCTCTCTAATCAATTACTTTTTTATTATGGCTTTTATTTATAAAGCTGTTTATGTTTGGCTGTGTTTCATATTTGGTCATTAGGGAGTTTTTTTTCCAGCTTTAAAGCTAAGAGTGGGGTCATAGGTTTAATGTGCTGCCTCGGTCTGGTAATTGAAATTGTGTAATTCTAAAAAATATTTTTTTTATGTGTATTTGCATCTGTGTGTGTGCTCGTTGCAGGTGTGCTGAGGACTCTCTGCAGGCCAGGCAGCTGTTGTCCCTGACTCTAGACCGGATGAGCCACACTCTGCTCCTCGCCTTCCCGTCCTGTGTGGTCAGAGTACCAGTGGCACGATGCCAGCTTTATTCCCGATGCATGAAGTAAGCCTCCGACAAAAAACCGTTCACAAAATAGCAAAGAAGGGCAGCGGGGCAAAGATGAGATGTTAGGTGACCCTCGAGGAACCATCTGGCCTTCACAAGTGTCCTTCTTCCAGCTGCAGCTGTAGCAGACCCGTCTTTGCTGCAATAATAACACAATATTACAACTTATAACATCTGCCGCTTTGCCCTTGAGCGAGATGGCAATCTGTTAAATGCAGCACAGTAAAAACAAGTCAAACTTTAATAAAATAGGTGAATAAGTTGGCATAAAATCAAGTGGAAGCTTTTAATGTAATAAATTCAATTAAAATAGCGGTGTATTATTTTTGTTTTACTCTGTCGTGTGCAGCATAATTTTACTTTCCAGTAATAATAATTGCTGATAATGCAATACATGATATTTTAACTTGATAGCAGAGTAGTAATGATGTGAACGAGTCCTGCAGTTGAGCAGAAACGGAGCAGAAAAGCGAACCTTACGCAGCAAACACTTCCGAAACCCAACGACCAAATACTTCCACAAATCCCAAAAGGCCAGCTCCAAAAAGTCCAGATTGAAATGTCCTTGCAGTGACCAACTTGAGTGAGCAACACCCTCAACCTCTTGGCAACCAACCGAGATCACAAGGTGATGGGAGGCAAAAGTGCAGATCAAAAGTGTGTGTCTTCGCAGTAAGGAACTCGACTCAGCTCTCAGCAAACTGCTTGTATTCTGGTTTTATTAAAAGCAAAGTCGCCCGTGTCATATATCAGCATCCTGCAGCAACTACCTTTGTGAATTTCTGCTTCACATCTGTGAGGTTTTGGGTCGACTCTGAATGTTAGTTAATGCAAAGTTCTGTGTTTGCAGACATCAACAGATTTGAGATTTGCACTGATTTATCGCAGTTGATTGCGATGCATGTAATTGCCAACTTGACTCCACTGTATTGCAAACTGATAGCAGACTGAGTTAGCGTCTTATAGCCACACAAATGCGCTTTGAACACAAAAACTCACTGCGAGCGGTTGCAGACCTGGTCCCCATCTTTGAAGCAAAGAGGAAAAAGGAAAAGAGAAGTGCCAGATACGGTAGCTGCGGTCACACAGCAGTCATCACCTCAGCTAATGTGAGTTAGCGACTGCTCTTGGTGCTGTTTGGAGCATTTTAAATGCTTGCTTTGCTGTTAATTGTGCTCACAGATCATCTAAAAAAAAAAATCTGTGCTCAGTCTGGCTTTCAATGAGTAAAATGAAAGCTTAATTTTTGTTCTGTTTCAGCACTATTTAGTAGTTGTGAATCCATACAGTGTACAGATGATCCTTGTAAAGCAAGCTCGTTACTCTTTAGCTAGTAACTTAGCACCCAACCCTCCTGATCACTCTGTTCATCACTACATTTTAGATTATGGGAAAGAACAGTGAAGAAGCTGGATTTCTGGAAGCCTGGCTGTGCTGCAATTAAACATAAAGATTTATTCAAAGCAAGGCTGTTTCACCTGCACACACCCACACAGTCTGCACACTGGAGAGAATCACACTTCAGTCTAGTTGCCCGTGGCTGTGGCCCTTCAGAGTCCACTGACACAGTAACACAGACTGGTACACACTCTGATACATGAGGCGTGCAGTTGTGTTCACTGAACCAGGTGAGTCGTACAAGCGTGTAATGCACATTAAGAAAGCACTCGCATGCTTTCTGAGGTGTGTATGGCGTGTGCACTTTTATTTTCGATGTGTGTATGAGAGTTAATTTTCTGTGTGCAAATAGGTTAAATATTTCTTAGTCATGCTTCGCTGGCTTCAAGTCTATTTTTTTTAACCTTTGAAGAATATTTTTGAGCACTTTGAATTTGGTTCAGTGCGATGACAGTTGATGTGCAGATTCCTTTCCACCTGACTTTAATCCTGTTTGATATGCTTGCATTTTTAAATAAAATCTTCAGTATTTCATAGTAACAGCTCGGCTTTATGCTGTGTGCCGAGCGTACAGCTGGATCTTTTGATGTCGTTTAACTCTGGCTCATTAAGCTCTGGTGCAGAATATCATTAAAGGTGCATGCAGAGTCTTCCCCTGCTGGTCATTAGAAAGAAGACAGTCTTAAGGTTTAAAAGACATTTTATGCTTGCTTCATTTTGCAGACTCTAAACCTACGCCCATCTTTTACACCATCTGTCCTTAACTTTTGCACCTTTGCTGTTACTGTGCTGGTAGTTTGGTAAAAAGAAAGACTGCCAGCTGGTTTGGTGCTGCAGATATAGTTGTACCTATAATATTTGTCTAAATACACCTTAGTAAGTTTCCCCTTGAAGACGCCTTTAGTCGCCGTCAGCTTCTGCCATGATTCTGGCTGATATTTGACGATTTTTCTTGGCAGAATTGGTAAAGTTCTCTAAATCAGATGGTTTCCTGGCACAGACCCGGCTTCTAAGAGCCGTCCTCTAATTTCATTAGCTTTGGGAAAGGCCATTCCAGAAGCTTAATGTTAGCCTGCTTTATCCACTCCCCAACCAGCTCTGATGTGTTTTTGGGATCAATGTCCAGTTGGAACACCTGACTGTGTTTCAGTCATCTAGCTGCTGATAGGAGGTAGTCCAATCCTCCCTCTGAGATCTTCACTAAATTCTTTGGACTTTCCCATGGTTCTGAGTTTTGGTCAGTCCAACGAGTGCTGTCAAACAAATTCTCTTAACGCTGCAAAGAGAAACTATCACCTCTAGTCAAAAACGTAATTGGCCTAGGCCTTGTCAAGTTAAAAGATAATGTTGAGCCATCGGCCATAACGTTGAGCTTGTGTGAATTAGAGACATCTGAAAGCAATTCAGACTTTTTTTAAAATAAAAAAGCCATTAAAGATATATGCTGTGCAATCATTCCACCAAAAAAGCAAAAAATTACCAGACATATATATATTTAGATATCTCTAAATATGTGGTTTAGATGAATACTCTTATGTTTAGTGCTATTGACACCAGTTTTGTTTAAAACTTGCAGTCTTTGGGACACATTTTTGGCAGTCTGTGGCGTTTGTGGTTTTGTCAGCATTACATTATCAGTGGAGCTGTGAACAGGGGAGATTTGTTGCTGCACTCAAGGACATGCCATTTTATTTTTAGAGATGGAGTAAGCAATTTTTCAGAAAGTTTGACATTTGAACTTAACAGCCAAATAAACACACTCCTCCCTTCACTGCTCCAAATTCATGGGCGTGCATTGCTAGGCCAATGACATTTAGCAACTGAGTTAGCTGACCCAAGGAGAAATGTTCCAGACTTTGAATGTTGACTTCTTTTTGTCATAGCTAAAACACACAAACACGCCGTTCAAAGTGCAAGAGAGGAAAAAGCACCAAGTTAGTTGTTTAGATTTTTAGAAGGTTTTCACAGGGGAACCATTAAAGGTGCCTCTTGTTCCCCACCGTAACCAAAGCCAGCAACTAATGTGACCTCCTGCCAACCACTACAAAACGTCCCGGTGAGCTGGAGCTGGTCAGCAGCTTTATAGTGAAAAAATATTTGAAAGTCACATTTTTACTACATATGCTTTGTAAACAGTTCCTGCAAGCTTGCCTCACATCTGGCTCTTGTGCTGGCTTTCTCTACGTTCGCCTAATTACGGACAAGACCGAAAACATGCCCACAAATGAACCAAAGCATGTGCACAAACACTTTTTCCTCTCTGTGGTTATTCATCGGCTGTTTTCTTGTCTGGAAATGTGCAGGGATTCACAGTGATGTCCTGCACACGCAGTCTGTGCACATGGAATAATTTCCCCTGCAGCTGGTTGGCTGGAGTAGTAACATGTGGGCCGGTCCAAGCCACTTTGTTTTGTTCCCATTGAGAGAGCCAGGACTTTTTTTCTGTGAACACACAGAATGAATTTGAAGTGTACCGGAATATTTTGGCTGACTTTACCTTGAAGAGAATTAGTAAAAATATGAAGTGAGTGATAGTGTTAACATATCTAATTTATGACTCATGTTTTCTAAAGTCAAATTTAGATGAAAAACCTCAGGCAGTGCTGATGCTGAGAATCCGTTTTGGTGAAGGTTGCTGTTGAAAAGCTCAGATCTCTGCTGAGACTCCCACAGTCTCCTAAGAAGTCTTAAATTAAGGTCCCTTTGCACAGCATTTAGCTCCATGATCAGAACCTTTACGAAAGACTTATTTTGACCGTTTATCAAACTGTCACCAAGTTAAACATCAAGAATTCAGTTTCAGTCTTTCAGGAAGTGTTTTTTAAGCGCCCGCCCCTCCTCACAGCTCTGTTATTAGCTTGCCCTCTATTGATTTTTCTCAAAAATGACAAAATATTCACTGCACTGAACAGCATCAAACATGTTTTGCAGGCTGTAAAACTTGAAGGTCAGTGACTTTCAAGGAGATGGAAATCCATCTAAAAAATTCACACCATCACTCCTAATTATCAGTATTTGCTTTATAGTGGATTCAGTTAAGGAAAAAGTAATCAGGAGATATTTTATGACAAGGAGTTTTTAGTTGGTCTAGTATGGTCTAATCCAACGGTCCCCAATCCCCGGGCCTCGGACCGGTACCGGTCCGTGAGTCGTTTGGTACCGGGTTATCGTTTTGATCGTTAACTCTGTGTTCCTGGGTCTTTTCACGTGTGTTACGAATAAATCTTCCTTTTTTCGGTACCAGTACTAGTTTTATTTTGTTGTATTTATCCACGACACCTTAAAGGCCGGTCTGTGAAAATATTGTCGGGCATAAACCGGTCCGTGGCGCAAAAAAGGTTGGGGACCGCTGGTCTAATCCATGAGCACACCACCAGAAAGATAAGCAGGGTGATGGCTAATGAAAGTCAGTTAACTGCAGCTATAGTCACAATCTGCAAATCTAGCAGCCAGGCATCCTTAACGCTTCCCCCAAATAGACAGCGTTTGATGACCTCCCCTGTACCCTTTTCCAAAGGTAGCTGCATACTCAGAGACCAACATCACTAACTTGCGATGCACACCCAGTTATTTTGCTTAATGACAGACCTGAAATATGACAGAAACTACTTGGATCAGAAGAGAGAAACATGGGTTACTCTGAGTAAGAGTTAAATTTGTAACCATGAAATATCCAAACACACAGATTTCTTTTTATTGAATGTATTCCTTCTAACAGCGTGCTGTATTACAGACTCCTCTTTGCTCCCCTCTAGTTTCTCTGACAGTGGACTGTTAGCTACGTTACCTGTGCAGGTGTTTCAGTTTGCATCATTGTTAAAATCATGTCATCTGTGGCTGTTTTTCTGAGCTAACATAAACATTCACAGCTAATATGAATAAAACTGTAACGCATTACCTCACCAGTGTGATTTCCCGGGAGCCACATTGAATAGATTGTTATCAGCTGCTTCATGACATCATCAGTCTCTGTGTTTAGTTGCTGTTTTGACCCAGAGACCGATTTAAGGCGGCAGCTGCACACTGTGCACGTACGGGGACCAAAGTAGAACTGGGAACCTTTTCAGGGTCCAGGCAGTCAAATAATTTGTTTCCTCTCCTCTGCAGGAACTGCATCGCCTCCAGGGACCCTTACTGTGGCTGGACCAGAGGAAGCACCTGCTCTTTCCTCAGACCTGGAACCAGGTACGGCATCCTTCTTTCGTTTTTTCGTGTATTTACAACACCACATCATACACTGCTCACTCTTATATTTAAAACAAATTCTTTGACACACTGTTTCAAAAATTCTTTCTTTATGTCGCTCTGAAGCTCTGTGTGTGCTTTTCCTGCAGTTTTTCTCTGATCTGCTGCTTTGATCCAACTTGTTTTCCTTTGAATTTCTTTGAACTTTTATCACTTCTCAAGGTTACTTTTCTGACAGCAGACCACCCATGGAGACCATGCGTTTTTTTCTTAAGTGTGGAAGTGGCTGGGTTTTATTTGCAATGATTTATATTTATAAGTGACATCTGTGCCCTCGGAGTAACCTCTCCACGTACGTGACAGCGTCACATTTATTGCGGCGCTCGTAAAACGTGTACGTGTTTAGCTAGATTCGATGTTTTTGCATGTTTCTCTGTTTTCTGCGTAACACACGCACACAGAGCGTTGTCTACATGAATGTGTGTGTGTGTGTGAAGTGCAGCGGCCTCTCTTGACAGCTCACCTCCAGTTGTGGCTGTTTCCTTCCAGAGAAATCAGATTTCTCTTTAGTCAAGCTGCTTATTGAATTAGGCTTTCAAACACAGGTGTAGTGCCAGCCGAACAGGCAACACAGGCCTTAAAGACCACCCCGGGCTGCCTGCTTATACTGTTATAGGCCTCTATGTTGGTCTTGATTTGATTTAACAAGGGCGGTCGACTCGGCAATCGATTCTGCATTGAGTTACCGTGGATTTCCTCTTTGTGGAATAATGCAACCTCTCTTTCCAAACCGGTGCGAGAGGAGAGCTCAGCGGCTCGTGTTGTTAGATGCAGTTTCTGCGGGAGAGCTGTTTTGTAGTTTAAATAAAGGTAGAGCCATCAGGATTTGCTTCTGCCAACAAGAATTTTGTGACACTTCAATATTTTGTTTTCCCGTAAGCCACCAATTTAGTCTTTTTTCAGTTGTACCGACCAACATTTTCAAAATACATCAAGTGTCCACTCGTGATTACCACCGACCAGTTTTTATACGTCTGTCTTAATTATTTGCACAATGAAGCGTCAATAAAAGCAAAGCAGCGTAATAACAACAAAATGAAAAGCGGATAGTGCAGGTGAAATTAAAAAAGCCCATAGGAGGTTAGAAAAGAAATCACGTTCAAAATTAATTAATCGACATTGTTTCTAAAAAAAAAAAGGAAAATATTTGGTAACAAAACACTTACAGAAACAGTGTGTGTCGGGGGGGTGGGGGCATTTGTAACTGGCACATTCAGGATATCAAAGCATGGTTATTAAATAATAAAAAATTAGGGGAAGTTAACCCATAATCTTTATGTGGTACAGTAAAAACGTGTGCAGGGATTTACTGAAACACACATACACATAAATCCAACTATAGTCGATGTTTGGTGTGAGCAGCTTTATCCTGTCTAAGCAGCTCCGTGAGGATCTTCAGGAATCGTTCTCCAGGCTTCTTGAAGGACATTCAAAGCTCTTCTTTGGATGTTTCTGCCTTTGGTTCTGGTCTCTGGCTGGATGGGGAGGCCAATCTGTGGGCTTCCACTGTGGGTTCTAATCCAGCCATGATTTCACTGCAGTGTCAGTGTGTTTGCGATCATACCTCAGTCTTTCTTCCTGTTTCACTTTACTAATGTCTGATGAGGCTTCGGTGAACAGTAGACGATCAGCTGGAAGTCTAGATCATCTCTCAGGTCCTGTGTCAGGTCTTTGCTGGATCCCCCCCCCCTCTTTAAGGACATGACTTTCAAATTCTGTCCACACATGCCGAGATATGCCAGCAGCTCTTTGGGAATTATCCCTGTCAAACTGTGTGATCTTAGGCATTTTTGTAGATTCAACAAAAAAAAACTGGAACAAATTGATTCTTTGCTAAGTCGTCTCTTATGTGAGGACAAAACACTGGATCAGTCCTTGAGCTCGGTGCCTTTTCTCTGCTTGAATGATTCAAAGGTCAAAAAAGATCCTCAGGAACAAGGACTGGACTGAAAATAAGTGAAAAAGCAACCGAAAGAACTTCATAATATCTGAAGAACTACTGCTCAATACAACTTTATGAAGAACAGCAGCTTCTTGAATCAAAATATCCAGAAATGATGGTTAGAACTACTTCCACTAACCCTTACTGGGAAGCTGTGCTGTAACAGGGTCCACACTGTGGTCTTTATTACTTTCTCTTTAGTTACTGTATGAAGTCTTTAAACAATGATCCAAAGTACCCATGAGAATATACAAGAAAAGAAACACTGAAAATGAAAAAGCAACAGTAAGAAGTGGGCACGCACACAGAGCCACAGACACGTCTAATGTATACAAAGTGAACAACCCGCCGATTGGGAGACGCAGCCAACTGAGCACATAACATTACTCTTTATTAGGATGGCACCGCTGCAGGTTCACAGCACACTTGGACTCATTTGTCACAGTTTTTTTAGGCTTTAAAAGCAAAAATGTTTGCTGCTGCTTGACCCTTTAGCTAATTACACAATGCTGACTTCTCAAGCCAAGTTCAGCTTTCATGCACAGTCAGTGCTCTGACATGTCAGATGTAGCTGCAGTGCCATGAAACAGCGTATGTGAGAGTGATTGCTACAAACGTGCACATCTTTGTGGTAACGTACAGAAGGCGTGCATCCAATCAACTGAGCCCCTGCTAAATGCTCACTTATACTTATATGAGGCTCAGCTGATCACATTAGGTCACGCATTGGTGTTGGATTGTAAGAATATGGCATTGATGTTAATAAGTTGTTAATAAGTTTAACATCTGGGGAAAATATTGTTATTTATTCTCTTGCACCAGCTTCCTTTGATCTGAGGCCAGGAAACTGTTTAAGCACACAACCTTAAGGATCACTCTGGGCAGTCCCACCATGCAGACTGTTAAGCTAATGGCATGCTGGCTAAAGCTTCATATTTACTGTTGTAAGAGAGCGTTATTGATCTTCTCACTCATCTCTAAGCAGGACCGACAAACTTTAAAGGGGATCTGTTATTCTCATTTCAAGCTTTATATTCATTCTTGGACTCTGCTAGAGCAGCTTTTCATGAGTCGCACTGTGAAATGATCAGTATTTGTCTCGGGTGGGGACTGGGAGCAGCTCATCCCTAACTGCCCCTCATAAACAGAAGGTTTTTGAGTGCAGGTTGTCAGCCAGAGCTGTTTGCCTGAGATGGTCCTATTGGAAATATTCTCTCTCTTTAATACAAACAGAGCCAAGAGCAGAAAAATATTTGAAGCAGTCTGAGCTTCGACTCGTGAGGATTGCGCGCACATATGCTGATCTCATCATTTAAAACTGGTTAATGGTTAATATGAGCACAGTTTAGACATAATAAGCCCATTTAAATATAACTGCTGAGAAAAGTAGCTGTTGCCAGTGTGAACATATTTCAAGCCGCAAAAAAAAAAATCAGTGGTTTTTGGCATTTTTACTTTACAGTAAAATTAAATAAATTAAATAGTGAGTTATTTAATAGGAACTGTGCAGTTTAACATAGCTCCACTACAGAGCGTGAAGCTGATGAGTGTATAGCTGATGCTAAAACAGACAAAACTTTACAGTATTCATTACTGCAAACTTCCAGATTTTCTTGTAAGTTGCAAAAATGACAGCAGCAGCCCGTTACTATCATTAGTTCTCATTTCTTTAGTTGAATCTACAAAAATGTCAAAGATCACACAGTTTAACAGACAGAGAATCATATTTTTGCACCAAAAAGGGCTGAAACTTGATGCACATTTTAGCACAGTGTGCAGTGTGTCCTTAAAAAATTGAAGTAAGTGGAGACGTGGAGGACAAACGGCCTAAAAAACTACCTGCGGGAAATGAATAGCATCTGAAAATCGTGTCCATAAGAAACAAGACCTGACACAGGACCTGATAGATAATCCATGTACTGTTCACTGAAGCCTCATCAGAAATGGTCACAGTGGAAGGCAAATGGGAAAAAATGACTGATGGATTCAGATTTTTTTAACAGAGAAGAGGAAAAAAAAATGCAAAAACGTCCAAAGATCTATAAGTATCCTTAAAAAAGCCTGGAGAATTATCCCTGAAGATCCTCACAGAGATGACAGAGAGCTGCTCAGAGAGCTCAGACTGAATAAAGGTGATCATAACTAAAATTTTCCATTTCTATTTTTGCTATAAATACTGTATTTCTCATAATTTTTTCATGTTTCGAAAAATTGCCGCACCTATTTTTTATTTTCCTGTGAAATATAAAGAAATGC